CCCCATGCCAATTCTATAAATTTATCGCTCCCTGCAAACGTAGAAAATATTTCTTATCGCGCGTAAGGGGCAGATACGAGAATAAGGAACGACTTCATGAACAATTCTAACCAAGTTTACAGAAACTGCTGTAAAACGTTTATGTTACATTTGGAAAGTCAGTTTTCCATAATTCTTCTTCAGTAGAGGTTAGGTTCCAAGTAAAAATACAAAAGTGTTAAAATTAAATAGTTTTGAAAACAACTATAACTTCACTTTCATCAACCCTCTATACATACGAGTAACTTCAAAGCAATTACAATGGTCTTACATATAGTTCACTGTGCTACTAATGTCATCAGTGTAAGAAAGTAAAGAAATAAGAAAATAGACACGATATTTTCATCAGTTTTTGAAAAGAACAACTCGTAAGACTATTTTGGACTACACAGGTATAGTTGGTTCAGATATTTTTGACAGTACTTTGTGCCGAATGTCTCCAGAAGCCTAAGAAAAATAGAAAATGGTGAACGATCGGACAGTGTGCTCGTGACAACCTGGCCTGATAGGCAGTTCACCTACCTATAGGCCAGAGTGCATGGTCAGCGCTGATTGGTTCTATGATTGAAGCGTGTCTCGGCAACAAGTGTCAGGACCCCTGTCCAGGCACTTGATGCCAGAACTACAAGTGTCAAGTGGACAATCACAATCAGAGACGAGCAAAATTTGATTCGAGTATTAGATGACAAATACAAACACCACGCAGCAATTTCTTTTCACAACATTTATTTTATTTTATAAATATACTACTTTATATCGTTATAATAATAGCACAGGTGCATCGGTGAGGTTCTGCCGAGAAAAATGAATACGAACACGACGGTACTCGGACGATTTTTAATCGTGCGTAAATCAAAAAGTTTCAAAATTTCGAAAATACGCACACCTTTGAACATGGTCGAGTTTGGACTCGTTTTCATCGGGAGGATCACGCCAGTCCATCGATACTATTATTAGAAAGATAGAGTGAAAAATGTGGAAATTGTAATTTCTGTAATTGAACGATTCATCGTGACACGTGCGGTCTTTTGTTCATCTATTACATACTTTATGTGTCAAAAGCAAAAGGATACGTAGGAAAGTTCTGCTGTTATTAAAATTGAATAACCAAAGAGACGACTATGCCGACCTTCTTCTTTGAATGGGCTGAAGAAACACTAGGTAGTTAAATATTAACGGGGGACAAAGAGCTCCTACGGGGAATATGGATTAAGATCTACGAGACATGGAATTGAGCGGTTTCAAGGATCTGCTGATGGAATAACGCCATCGGATACCCTAAATCTTGACAAATACAATAAAACAGAACTATTTTGGAAAATAATATAAATCTCATTAGACTAATTAGACTCTAATTTTGATCCTGGTCCAAGTATTCCTTCGTAAAAAAAAAATTCTAGAGAACCTTCGATTTTCGACCCAAAATGCCAATGTGTCCCCTTAGCTTCGCCTCGCGATCTAACCAACTTTAGCTTAAATGACCATAATTCCAGTAACGAAGACACATTGCACGGAATGGTTAATCTATGCATGTATCGTGCATGTGCAGGCACATAAGCGCCTGGAACGAGGTCTATATCATTGAAATGATTACAGGTCCCCCCTGTTCAACCGGACATTTGGTAAATTGATCTAACGTCCCTACTTCCCAATAAAATAGATCAGATACGATACCCCGCTCTTTGAGGACGCGTGTGCGTGCGTATTTCGCAGTTTTACGTTTCTTCCATCGGCGGAGAAATTTTGGAGACCCCGATATGAGGTTGTCAGACGACTCCCAGAGCAGGAATGTCACTATAGCAAAGGAACTGATACGGTATTAGAGTTCAAATACCCATATAGCAGGCGAAGTAGTACTCAGCCAGAGCAGAAATGTCGATATAGCAAACGAATTGGTACAGTACTAGAGTTCGAGTGCTTTAGTGAATTAGTACTCGGCTAGAGTAGGTCAATGTAGCAAGCAAATTAGTACTCAGACTCACACTACAGTAGGAATGTCGATATAGCAAATGAATTGAATCTGTTATAGCTCGAACGTCGATACAGTTGATGTTTGACTGTTTATACAGAAATTGGTGATACGAATTGTTACTTTGCTCCAGATTTAAACAAATGCCACGGGGTTTAAGGGCTTCGAAGTAGCAGTGAAACGCTAAGTTTATCCGATCGTTATTTCCAACGGGAGAAAGGCGATACAGAAATAATCGCGCGAGGAATTTCCAAGTACTTCGTGAAAGTCTGAGGTTTCAAACAGCCGGAGACTATGGAACGCTTGAAATTTTCATGTGCAATTTCCCATGTCGATTAGGCGCGCCCACGCGGAAGAACAAATCTCTGATAATCGGATAATGGAAGTGCCGAGAAACTACAATTGCGGTCGACCGATTAATCTGGCATCCCGTGGCAAAGTCCTTTGGAACCCCCGTTGCTCGATAGAAACTCGACAATACCTCCCCAAGTTCTTTCAACGGGCTTTCAATTCCCTGAAATTGCGCCTCGATGTTTCCGTCAGAATTTAATTTTTGCCACGGGCAAAAATAGAATACCAAAAATTACGTTTCGACGACGCTCTTCGAAAATTTTATTTTGAACCTATTCGACGCGTCCCCGTTCGAAGGACACGAGGGAAAACAATTTCCCTGCGAACAGTCTCTTACAGGGCACGTTGCAACGTTCGAAAAGAAAATTTTGGTATGGAAAATAATCGAGAATTTTTTAGAAGATAAAATAATTTGATAAAAATGAAAAAAATTTTTACAGAGCTTAGGGAAAGATGCTCGTCTGGAAGGCTGTATAAAATGCCTCCAAAGAAAATCTTTCAACCCTTTTCTGGTCCATAGTTTTTGATACGGAGGAGCTGGCTCGCTGTACGACGGTATTAATATCAATTTTCTGTGACCAGAGTACTCTATCCCGGCTAAATCCAATCTGGATTCGGTAAAAGGGAAAAATGGCGGGACGATACGTGACAGGAAACGCGCACGAGTCCAGACGACTTTTTATTGTAATTTATCATGACCTTTCTCACAAAAGACTCCGCGGACGTTGCGTTGCCCGCCTCGTGGAACGTTAAAAGCATTCCGGTTTCAAAAGATCGTTGGAAAATCGCTTGTATTACGACAAATTGTTACAAAACTTTGCGGAGAAACGTCCAGTTTTCTTTTCATGCCCCTTGCTAAGTACACGGTAACGAGCGTTCATATTCCTCGCCAGTGAGAACACGGGATTTTTTATGGATCGTAAAGAACTTCGAAAACTTTTAAAAGTCTTGCAAGTTTAACGGAATGCTCTGAAATTTTCCAACAACGAACAGCACAATGGAGACTGTCCGTTTTGCAACTGTAAATCTAGGGACAAATTTTTTTTAATAACGAATAAAAATGTTAGATTCGCCCGTAAACTAATCGCAATATATATTGTCATAACGTAGAACTTCATATGTAAATTATTATAAGTAGGTCTAGTATTCTTTTCTATTTCCACATGTGTATCGAACCTAACCTCAATTGTAACTAGTCTTAATCTTAACTAAACTTCTAACCTAACCTCAATTTCAGCCAAACTTTTGAAACAACTTTAACGAGTATTATTAATAATTTTTTGAACGTTCGTTGCAATTTCTTCTGTACGAATTTTGCGTCCGAGTGGTTGGTAGTCAGCCGACTAAAAATAAACGTTTCAAGATCGAGGGTCAGCGAAGTCAGCGATTATCGCGTTATCGGCACAACCTTACTACGAAGTTCAGCATCCCTGCACAAATATGCCTTTTTTCATAACTAATCAACGTCGCCTGTAAAAATGTTATCGATTAAATAAACGAGTCAATAAGATTTTTTATCGATTCCTTTTCTTCTCTTTGCCGGCGCGTATCGCGCACAGCGGGGACGTAAATCATCAATCGCGTGCAATAATAATCGCGGTTACCAGAAGGCCAATCAACGGAAAACAAAAATTCATTTCCTTTTATCCATCGTTTCGTCTCAAACATAATCTGAACAAAGAGAGAATATTTAAAGTTACGATAACAAAAGAACTATAAATAAATGATGTAACAAATAGGAATAGAGACACCTAAATAAAAAAGAATAAAAAAGACTCAGACGCTGAAAGACGTTTACTGGACTTCCAATAACGGCTTGTTTTTCTCGAATGGCGGCACATCAAAGCGATGGGAATTGATTGGGAATTTCGCGCGTCTGCGTTGCCGGCGTGCCAAAATATTTCATCGCCGACAAAAAGCGTGAAACAGATTCGGAATTTCGCACGTGCAATTGCCTGGGGGGGGGTGGGGGGGAGTCGCCAACGCGCGCCAAACGTTTTTATGTTACCAATTTATCAGGCCTGATCGAAGGCGGTCGGGGTTTCGCGTCACGTTTCGGAAATCCTTCGACAGCACGGAAAGTTTGATTGCCCTTAATACAGGGTGAGTACAAAAAACAAAGAGGCAATCGAGGGACGGTCGTAACCGAGTGCACGATTAGTACGTAGCGTGATTAATTTTAGGGACTTGCAAGCGATACCGTCCAGCCTTTATTGTCTACGTTGCTGGCGGCTGCCGTACGATTATCGTGTTATTATGTTGTTACGCGTTATTGGCATGATTATCTTGGTTATTATGCTGTTACACATTATAGTGCGCCAGCGGGCCGTGTTTATACAACCGTCGAAACAAATCTCGATGGAGTACCTATTGGGTCCCCTTTAATGACCGACCCAAATGGCCGATTTAAGGCCTGGACTGAACTCATTCAACGCGACTCTCCGACTCTATTGGCCGTAAATGGTTACCGAAATTAACGACGGACGGTACGGTAATGAAATAAATAAGAGCAATTAAAATGGAAGGCAGCAATAACAACCGGAGTCGTCGCTCTTCCATTGTTGCTTCGTTTGGTTATGTATAGTCCTACCGGATACTGATTTGCTCGCTTTACTAACAGCTGATCTTTCTGTCGTTGCAGGAAAATGTTCGATCGCCTGCCATGGAAGTGAGTATTCGATCTCAAGTATTCCCCGATTTTAAAACCGTTGTCTAACAATGTGTCCTCCTTCGCGAATTCCAGTGCCCACAAAGAATGCGTATCGGGAAGGACACACGTACACATACAATTTGGAAGGAGCGTCGATGACGAACGTCACCGACTCACAAGGCACAGCGTCTCTCAAAGTGTCAGCCACCGTTGAGTTGTCCGCTAAATCAGACTGCCTCTATCAGCTGCGGCTGAAGAACGTCCAGTTAAATGGAGCGGTAATTTTTCTGCTTATTAACGAGAAGGGAAGGTCATATTCTGTCGATAAAGTAACTCCACCTTATCGACAAAGTGATTTTCCTTACCGACGATGTGGTTTTCTTTATCGACATAATGTCCTCTGCGGTTCAGATCCTACGGGTGACTCGAAGCCATACGGTGTAGTTACCGCGAATCTTACTAATCGTTGATCATATTTTTTAGCCTCCATCGACGCCAGACGTTGAGCAATATGCAGTCCAGTTCGGATATCACAACGGGCTCGTCGATCCTTACGTCTGCGCCGAGTCTGGTGACTCCCAAGCTTCGCTCAATCTCAAGAGAGCTGTCATCTCTCTGTTCCAATCGTCTGCTCTGACGAAAAGCGGCACGACGACTCGCGACGAGGTTCGAAAAATCGATCCATCGATTCCTCATCTTCCTACGAGCGATATTCTTCACGGACGTCACTCACGATGTTACAATTCCTTCTAGATCGACGTTATGGGATCCTGTCCAACCGAGTTCTCGGTCCGCAAGGCCGGCGAGGTGCAGACGGTTCACAAAAGCAGAAACCTCGCCGACTGCTCGTTCCGCGAGAACATCAATCAAGGCCTCGTGTCCGCGACCACCGACACAGCAGCAGGACTAAAATCCGCGCCTCTGCTGGCGTCTCAGCAAGAGGTGGAGCAGCGCTTCGAACGCGGCGTCCTCAAGGAAGCGGTGTCCAACGAGTACTACAAGCTGAATCCGTTCAGCAACGGTAACGCTGGCGCGCACACGTTCGTGGAGACCAAATTGACCTTCAAATCTGAGAAGCCAGAGAACAGTCCCGCTGTAGCCGGTACACAAACCAAGTCTCTCGTCTTCGATGCACCTCACCCTCTCATACAGTCGTCTCCAGCCGCTATTGCCAATGCGTTGAACGCGGCTAAGGCCGAAGTGACCGACGGAGTGAGACCCGAAGCGGCGGGCAAGTTCGAGGACTTGGTGAAGGCGGTCAGATCGAGCAACAAGGACGACATCCTCTCGGTGTATCAGAAGGTGAAGGGCGCCAGCAAAGAGGAACGGAAACTCTTGCTGGACGCTATTTGCCGCGCAGGGAGCGGCGAGGCGGCCGAAGTAGCGGTGGAATTGATCAAGAACAAAGAAGTAACAGGCCTCCAGGCGTTTTTCTTCTACACCAGTCTGGCTCTGGTGCGCCACGTGAATCTTCCATCGGTGGCAGCCGTGACGTCTCTTCTGGACCAGCCGAATCTACCTCGAATCGGTTACCTAGGCGTTGGGCAAGTGGTTGGCAAGTACTGTCAACACCACACGTGCGAGAACGTCAACGAGGTGAAGGAAGCTATACGGAAGATCCGCGAGAAAGTGGGTAACGGAAAGGCGAAGACCAGGGAACAGGAGAACCTGGTAGTATCTGCTTTGAAGGCGCTGGGCAACACGCAGTTCCTCGACGACGCCACTCTTCAGAAACTGGCGAACATCGGCGCGGATAAAAATGTCCGGAACCGCGTACGAGTGGCTGCCATCGAAGCACTGCCCACCAGGTGCTCCATGAAGTGGAAGAACATCATGTTCAAGGTACTGGCCGACCTGGAAGAAGACAGCGAGATTAGAATTAAATCGTATCTATCGTTGGTCGCTTGCCCCTGCCCGCACGTCGCTGGCAACCTCAAGGAGGTGTTGAGCAAGGAGACCGTGAACCAGGTTGGATCCTTCATTCAGAGCCACCTGAGGAACCTGAGGGCGTCGACAGACCCTAACAAACAGAACGCCAAAAATCAACTTGGTCTCATCAAGCCCCGCACCAGATTCCCTGAAGACTTCCGCAAATTTTCCTTCAACAACGAGCTATCCTACACTGCTGGGTCCCTTGGTCTTGGCTCCGCCCTCGAAAGCAACGTGATCTACAGCCAGAACAGCTTCGTGCCCCGTTCCGCCAATCTGAACTTGACCGCCGAGATCTTCGGTCGCAACTTCAACTTCCTGGACCTGAACGCCCGCGTGGAGAACCTGGACAGAGTGCTGGAGCATTACTTCGGACCAAAAGGGAAAGTATGGGAGCAGGATCTGAAAGGCATGAAGGACGCTGGCACGAACGCCGCCAACGACGTCCGCGATTACGCCAAGGAACGCTACGAGAAGCTGTTGCGCGGGAAGCGAGAGGTCAAGCAAGGAGAACTGGACAGATTCGCGAAGAACGTGCACCTGAGGAACAACGAGGTGGACGAGAGCCTGGACCTGGACCTATCCGTGAAACTGTTCGGTGTCGAGCTTGCCTATCTGAGCTACCAGGGCGACAGCAACAAGCTCAAACCAGAAGCAATCATCGACAGTGTGTTCGACAATCTCGACAAGGTCTTCGACAAGGTCAAGAACCTGAACTACGATCTTGAGAATTATCTGCAGTTCCTGGAAGCCGAGCTGGTTTACCCGACCAATATGGGTAGCAGTTTGACTCTCGGTTTGACGGGGACGAGTGCTGTTCGCGTGAAGACCAACGGAAAGGTCGACGTCCCATCCATCTTGAGGGATCCGTCGAACGCAGCTCTCAGAATTGCTGTCGAGCCTAGCGTGTCCGTCAGGATCGTTGGAAACATGGTTGTCCAAGGCTTGGGTGCCGAGTCCGGCATAAAAGTCGTCAACACGCTTCACACAACCACCAGCACCGACGTGTCCGTCACGATGTTGGATGGCAAAGGTGTGGACGTAAACGTTGGAGTGCCCAAGAAGAAGCAGGAACTGATCAGCGTGAGCAGCGAGGTTCTGTTCAGCGACAAGGAGAAAGGAAACAAGTACGTGGCTCCTAAGTTTGGAAAGGGCAAGGAGTACGCGGACTGCTTTGACCAGTTCTCGCCTCTAATCGGTTTGACCGTGTGCGGCAAGATCTCGTACCCGTACGAAGACGCGAGCATCCTCCAACAGAAGCCGCTGTTCCCTCTGAACGGGCCAGCCAAGTTCTCGATCACGGTTGAGAACAACGACGTCAACAACTACCACTTCAAGGTCTACTTGGACATGGAGAACCCGAACAAACGGTCCTTCGAGATCATGCTGGACACGCCGAACTCCAAGGCCAACAGACTCGTGTCCCTGGCCGCGGAGGCGGGCGTGGAACCCAACAAGTACGTCAGGGTCTCGTTGAACTCGCCGATCAAAAAGGCCTCGTTCGAAGCTGTACTTAAGAATAACGCCCAGGAACGCACTCTGACGGTCACCGTTCTTCACGATCTGATGGAATACTACGGTCAGATCGGCGTCCTAGCCAGCGGCGGCAAGTACAAGCCTGTCCTGGAGTACAGAGTGCCCGAGCACATCGAGAAGCTGGCCAGCGCGAAAACGGGACTGAAAGCAGGCCAGAATTACAACGTGCAGGGCACTGTGGACGTCTCCGATTACGAAGGCGGTCAGAAGTTCGTGCTGGACAAGGTTGCACTCGTGGTTAGCGGCAAGAAACTGGTCACAATCGACGGTTCCGTCATGTGGTCACCGAACGCCGTCAACCTGGACACGAATCTCGTCTACGCAGACAAGGATCTGGCTCTGAAAGTGGACGGGAAGAAGGTGGCCAAAGGAAACTACGTGCTCACCATGTCAGCCATGTCGTCCAAGGATCCAGACATTGGAATGAAGCTGAAGTGGGACTTCAACGCGGACCCCAACGGCGTGGAGAACCAGATCGTGCTTACTCACGGGCCCAACCTGAACTCCAAGGTAAATCGTCTGAGTTTGGAGCAAAAGTTCAAGTACAACTTGGACCCTAAGAATCGCTTACTGGACATGTCGAACGAGTTGAAATACCCGTTGGTGAACCTGGAGCTGAAGATAGATGGCAAGGCTACCGATAAATCGTTGAGTGGAGACGTAGAGGTGAAGTACGAGAAGTTCAAGATGGGCGCTGAAGTGTCCGCCGCGAAGGACATGAAAAAGCCAGGTGACTTCGAGATAGAGGCTGAAGCTGAACTGATGGAGAACAGCATCAAAGTGAAGTCTAAACGCACTGTTTTGGACGGTACGAAGAACAAGTACTCTAACTCTCTGGTATTAACTCCGGGAGGTAGGTACGACGCTGATGCAACGGTGACCTACGACGTGTCCAAGAACAGCGCCAAGGTCCAGATGGACGGCGACCTGAACCTGAACGGGAAGAAGGTCAAGGTGGACACTGGCTTAGAGGCGAATCAAATGGTGTTCAACAGTGAAGTTTTCGTGAAAGTCGACGGCGTCAAGTACGTGGAATTCTTGCTGCAGACTCAACGTCCACCGAATCCTAGTGGTAATCTGAATCTGAACCTGAAGAACTACCTGACGGCCACTGGGCAGTATGCTTATCAGAACGGCAAAGGACACGCGAACCTGAACATCGATGTTCCGAAGATCAACCGCAAGATCAAGGCTAACGGTGAATTGGCGGTCTCTGGAACCGAGCATTTAGGGAACTTCGAGGTTCTTTACGACGCGGAGAAGGATCCCAAGAAACGCATCAAGCTGTCCACGATCTCCGACATCACGAAAACGTCCATAGACACTAAGAACGTGCTGGAGGTTCACGCGTACAAACTGGAATTGAACGGTAAAGGTAACATGAAGGGTACTCTGAACGACGGCCAATTGCAAATGGATGGTGACTTGACGCTACCCAATGGACGGTTCCTCGTGGTTAAACTGAAGCGCAGCGCCGCGAAGAAAGACAATAAATACGACGTTCAAGTAGACGCCCAGGTGACGGACAGCGTGAAGAAGGGTGGAGAATCGAGGAAACTCGCGTACAACGTTGACTTCAAGGACGTTGACCTGCAGCTGATGACCTACCAAGGCAACGCTCAGCTGAAGTTCGTCGATTTCGACGGGAAGGACTTGCAAGTCGCGTGGGACGGGAAAAGGCAGGTGCAGAACAAGGACAAGGTGAACAACGTCGTCGTCAAGGTCAGCGGAGCAAAAATGCCAAAGAAATTTCAACTCCACGTTGGCACCAATCGAGGAGACAGTCGAGGAGCGTACGACGTCAAGTCATCTTTGGGTGACAATCTCTCGTTAGCGGTAATTGAAATGTTTTTTAGAGACGCGAAGGCGCGTTTGTTCGAAATCTCATCTATTCTCTCTGCTTTCAGGCCACGGGATCCTTCGAGCTGGGGAACAACGTCAACAAGCCGCACAGAATGGAGGGTACTTTGGACCTGAAGTTGCCCAGCGAGAAGCTCAGCAACTTGAAACTCGAAGTCACCAGGAGCTTGCTGGGGGCCAGCGAGGAAAGAAACTCTATGGAAGCCGCGCATGTGGTAACGCTGACGTACAACAACGACAAGACGATCAAAATGGAGTACGATCTGAAGCTGACGGGACTTAAGGTGCTGGAAGAGTCCAGCGAGGGCGAGGGAAGATTCAACATGAACGTTCTGCAATATCCTCCGTTGAAAGTGGAGTCTAGCTACAAGAACAACTTCGCTAACGACAAGACTACACTTACTGGCGACGTGGCAGCCACCTATGGCGACAAGAAACTGGCGCTTCAATTGAACGCCGAGGATCTTCCGGATTTGTTGGTTGTACATCTGAACGCCAAGTGCAACTTGCTTCTCGAGAAACTCAAGAACGTTGAACTGCAACTTGTTCAGAAGGTACTTTTAGTAGACTCGTTGAAACCACTGGTACTTAAAAAATATGAAGAACCCGTTTAATTACGCGGTTATTCCCATCTCTCTAGGTGCACAAGAAAGAAAACAAACGGGAAACGGACGCTACCGCCATGGTCGACGACAACAAGTACACCCTGAAGAGCGAGATTCAGCAACAAGACGTGAACTCCTTGTTCCACGTGCAGATGTCTTGCCCGTCAGGAAAGACCGAATTATTGTCCAAAGTGGAGAAACTCGGCGCTAAAGAGTACAAAGGTAACGCGAGCGATTGTTAATTGTTTGCAACGAGCAACAAGGACGGTGCTGATCGATTTACTGTTACAGGCGAATGGAAGGCCATCACGCCGAAAGGATTCATCGTTGCTGATATCCACGTGGACCTGAACAGCGTCGACGAGTTCGTGATCAACGGGAACTTCGACAGCGACCAGATGGCCCGTCGCAAGCTCCACTTCGAAATGGTCAACAAGCCAACAGCGAAGACGGGAAAGAAGATCATAGTCATCACAGTGACCAGCGATGGCCAGAACATCGTAACCGGCAGGTACAACATCATCACTTTTATGGATCGACGAGTTTGATAAAATCGCGTTTGATGATTCGTAAAATGAACGTCGCTTCGGGATTGGAACATTCATATTTCATACAGTTCATAAACATGTTCAACTTACGAATCAGGAACACGTATGGTGTTCATTTTAAGAATCATCACTCTACGAAGCTTTGATAGTATACTATTGCCAGGAATCTTATTTAACTTATTGCCCTAATGATAAAAATGTAAGAAAGTAGCGTAATGCACATCCTAAATTCATATCATTCGTACGAAATGCTTGTTTCTTGACTGTCTAAAAACATTCTGAATATTCGGGAACTAAGACTGCACTGTCTATCCAGCACCAACTACAAAAAACGCGACGAGGACGGAAAAGTGGTAGTAGAAGGCAATGGCAGTCTAAAGGTCGGCGACGACACCACTGCCTCGTCCTTCAAGTACACTCGTCAACAGCTGACCCACGAGAACGACGGAGAGATCGGTGTGGCTATGGTCCTGAACGCTAACTTTGGACCGTCCGCCATCGTTGGTGAACTGAAACTCTCGAACAAGGAGCTCCACGTGTTCGAAAGCTACTGCGAGCAAACCAAGGACTGCGCTCACTTCAAACTCCAATCAACGCTCAACACTCAAGGTGAGCGTTATCTCGAATCGTTATCGTGACGCTAGAGAGCTGTCTCGGACGGTAGTTTTCAAGTCGACGTTTCATCTTCAGAGAAAAATATGCTGAAGCACCAAATCACGGTGGAAGTAGACCTGAAGAAGTTCAACGTGCCTGCCGAGTTCGGACTGAAGACCAACACCGAGGTGAAGGCTCCATTGTTCTCCCACACCACGAACCTCTACCTCCACTCGACGAAGGATAAGTCCGAATACACTTACCAGGTGTATGTTCAACCGAAAGAAGCAGGTAAAGCCTGGAAAACTAAGGAATACTACGATTAGATGAAATACCAATTAGATCTGACTCTCTTATTCTTGATTACAGCTACCGTTCTCAGCTTGCCTTCTCGAGAAATAGCTCTGGTCGCGACGTACGACCTGCCAAAGACCGAGCACACCAAAGCATTCAAACTGGACACGTCGCTTTACCTGGACAGAAAGAACAAACCATCCGACAAGACCAGCTTGACGGCTACTGGAAACGTAGACATCGACGATAAAAAGATCTCTCTCAACGGGGAAACGAAATTCGTCTATCCCACGCAGCACAAGGACCTGTCCGTGAAAGGATGGCTTCACTACGGGGGCGAGAATCTGTTGGACGCCAACTTGGAATTCGACGTATTCGCCAAGAAGATGCAAAAGATCACGGTCACTGCCAAGGTTCAACGACAACAAGTGGAGAACGGCAACAACGTGACTAGTCAGGTCAACGTGAACAGCAACGGTCAGAATCTGAAGCTGGAGTTCAACTCCCACCTGATGGTCTCCAGCAAGGAATTAGGATTAGGTAGTTTCTTGACCTACAACGACGTGCACCAGAAACCAAAATCACTGGGCGGGCTCTTCTCCGCGAACCCCAATCAGGTGAATCTGTTGATCACGTTGCCCGACCAGGAGATCATCAGGGACGAGTGGAAGATGCAGTTCACCAAGAACTTGCAGAAGATCGACAGAGAAGTGTCCGTGTTGGGCGAGCAACCGGTGGTGACCAACATCGAGGCGAACAACTTGAATCGTTTCTCGTACCTGAGGTATCCAAAGGGTAAGCTTCGAGAATGGCAAAGGTTTCACGAAACGAATTCAATTTTAACGAAGAGTTTTAATTACAGGCAATCCTAAGGAAGGGTTCGCCGTCAACGGTCAGGTAGTCCTTGGTCAGCTGGCTGAAATCCACGCAACGTACAACAAAGATGGCGTGAAGAAGAACTTGTTCCACGGTATGATCCATCTAGACGAGAAGCAATTCTTGAAGCCAGACTTTGGTTACAACAAGGAGAACGTAGCGGAAGTTCTCGTGAGCATTGTGATCTCTCCTTGTAAATCCAGCTACGAAAGCTACAGACCTTAAACTATTGTACGTTGCCTTTTGATATTCTAGGATAAGGGTAACAAAATTCACATGGACCGTCTGAAGAAGCTAAAGGACGTCCAGGAATACGCGATGAAGGAGGTGAATACGGAGGTCGGGGACCTGGTGAATCATTTGAAGAAGGCTCAGCCTAACCTGAAACCACTCGTGGATTATTACCAAAAGGAATTGAACAAACTGAAGGAGGAGGTAAAGGCTGACGAGACTGTCAAGGAGATCCACGCCATTTTGTAAGTGTACCGATTATTTTCAGTAATAATTTCAGATAGAAATTTGAACATCGAGTGTTGCTTTTCAAGGAACAAATACTTCGGAGGCATAGTCACGGCCGTCGCGCAAACAATGAAGGGTGTCGCGGAAGGTTTGCAAAAGCTGACGCAGCATCTGAGCGAAATCCTGACGAACCTGAAGGAGAGCGCCAAACCTATTTACACGCAGCTGAAGGAGTCCTGTGACAAGGTGTACAACGAGCTCGTGAACATCCTCGACGCCGCGGCGAAACTGGCCAACACTTATCTGAACGCGCTCCTCAACTTGATCAACGAGCATCAAAAAGAACTGAAAGATCTGTTCAGCGTAGTCTCTGACGTGGCTCAGGACTTCTCGAAGATCTTGTCGAAGACGTTGGAACGAATGAGACTCGGTTTAGAAGAGTTCTACACCCTGCTGATAAACCAATTGAAGGCACTACCGATTTACGAGATGGCCAAGGAGAAGCTCGAGGAGCTGAAGAACTTCCAGGTGCCGGAAATTGTTCTGAGCTCCATGGAGGAGTTCTCCAACGTGATGAAGGGTATTATGCCCACGCAGGAGCTCAGTCAATTGGTCGATACCGTCAGCCAGCACATTATAAAGCACGCCAAACGCGAGAAGGTACATTTCGTAAACAGAGACTTATCGCGAGATGCGAACAGTGGTCTTATATCGAACGAGTCTGATGTTTCTATTGTTCCTGGTTGCAGGTGGACGAGTTGGCCGAATGTAAAAAGATTTACACGCAAGCTGTGGCCGCCGTTCAATCCGTCCTTGCTCTCGTCCAGAATCTGGTAACGACGGACAACTTATTTGCTTTGGTCAAAATGCCTGTACAGCTTGACTTGAGCTATTTGTCCAAGCTTCCAGGCATCTACGCCGTCAAAGTTTCTGTCCTGAACCTGTTACGCAACGGAGAGCTACCCACGCCTTCGGAACTGTACTTCACTTACAGGTAAACAATTTGAGCAAATTAAATAATTCGATAAGAACGATAGAACTTTAGATCGTCGTGGTCGCCATGTTTGTTACCGAGGTGAGTTGATTTGACCAGAGTCCACCAAATTCGTCGAAATTCCCCGCATCAGGCTACCACTTAGGTAGAGACCCAGATATAGGAGAATATCCAAAGCCAGGAAGTCCCGCTCCATCCATCGAAAACAAAGAACAGATTATTTTTTGCAGCTTACATTTACAATGAATATTCTTGCATTTCTACCATTTCACTAAGTTTATTTTGTAATCTCTCGCAGACCCACCCTCTACGCTAGCGACCTGGTGCCACCGTTCAGCAAATCAGCAGTGGTCGCCGACGGTGGACACTTCTTCACGTTTGACGGACGTCACCTGACCATGTCCGGCACCTGCACCTACATCCTGGCACAGGACATGCAGGACGGCAACTTCTCGGTGGTAGGGAACTTCAACGACGGAAACCTGATCAGCGTTACGGTCACCGAGCCCAAGGAAACCATCACGCTCAAGAGTAACGGAAACGTGAGCAAACATCTCTTTGTTCGAAGCTGTTCTCTCGACCGGGGACGTGATCGTTCCTCGTCGATCGTACTTTCAGATCTTGGTCAACAACAAACCGGCCGACTATCCAGCCAGCACGAAGAACCTCCACGCCTACCTGGTGCTGCCTTTCGCCAACGTCAAGTCTGATTATGGCGTACGCGTCACGTGCACGAAAAAGGCGCCAATGGTTTGCGCCGTCCACGTGTCCGGATTCTACCTGGACAAGATGCGCGGCCTGCTCGGCAACGGCAACAACGAGCCATACGACGACTACACTTTGCCGTCTGGAAAGGTATGCCCGTCCATTTTCTTCGTTACGATCGACGAGAATTGGAATTACGATCGTAAAAATGTTCTCCAGATCACCGACAGTTCGTCAGACTTTGGGAACGCGTACAAACTGAAGGGCGACTGTCCAAATGCAGCCGCTGCCCCACACGCGGACCACGCCCCAGTCTGCACGGAATACTTCGTCAGCCAAACATCCCCTCTGCAGTAAGTTGACTTGTAGAAAAGATCGTGATTACTCGTATTCTTCCGTGGGGTCCATCGCCTCTCATACTTGCCGCCAGAGGGACCGTTCCTCTCGCAAGCGCTCGACCGACCTTCCATCTGCGTATATACGTTGTCACACTTCCAACGGGATGCTAATGGTTAATGATATTGTAGGTCTTGCTACGCTTACGTCAACCCAGCTCATTATCGCGAAGCTTGCGATCATGCAGTTGCAGCCAAAACAACGGAAGGACCTTGTCTGATCACAATGGCTTACCATTATGCTTGTTACGCGGCTGGCATCAAGAGTACACATGTTCCATCATCTTGCAGTAAGTTTAATCGTATGATATTACGGTAATGCCCGCTTTCAAGTGACAATCTTCTACCCCGGATTCAAGTAACAAGATCACATCCCCTCCGTTGCTTATCTTTGGATATTCCCAACTTTCTTGTTAATCACAGTTTGAGATAATAAATTGGCCACTTCAATTTGTTCACTCGAAAGCACTACGTTCGAATGGCTCGAGTGTCTCACGATGTTTGCATAGGTACAACGAGCTGCAAAGTCGGCGCGAACACGGTGGCCGCTGGCGACTCCTTCAGCGTAAAAGTGCCCAAAAAGGAGGCTGACGTGATCTTCGTGGTCGAACAAGAAACACCGAACGAGAACGTCTTCAAGGAGATGATCACACCCTTGATATCTGAACTCAGGGACGAACTGAAGCACCAAGGAATGACGTGAGTGCCTGCTCAAGCAAGAAATATCTTGGGGGGATGTTAGCCAAAGGGACTATAAGTCTTCTTAAGATCATTACAAATCCGAAGACTTCGTTTCTGAAGCCAAAGGAACATTCCACTAAACGTCCATCGTATTTGACTTTGCAGAGACGTGCACATTGGTTTGATCGGATACAGCGAGAAGATGAAGTGGCCGCAGCACTACACGCTGAACGGCGACACAAACATCAACGGCGAGGTGAAGACCATGAAGTTCCACGAGAAGAAACCGGTAGTAACCCTCGAGGCAAGTCTACTATTATTTGCTACCCGTTTTTCGAAGAGGCTCCCTAAAAATAGAGATCGAGTTGCCGAAGAACAATTAAGAGTTCAGTTACACATCGGTCTCCCGACGCAATTAAGGAACGTGTTTATGCAACGTGTTCGCCTATCGTTAATCGGCGATCGCATTAGCATACCTGCGACGCGTTGTCACTGTAACACGTGTTTACGCGATTCCTTTTGAGATACCGCGGTTGAATCACCGTCCGCGAATCAGAGTGATTCAGTATCTTCTACGTTTCCCAATCTTTGTCTAGAGAGAACAGAATTCGTTACTATCGCCGCGTGAATATTCATCCTATTTTAATCAGTCGTCGAATGGCGTTCTACGTTTCGCGCGTCTTTCAGGAAACTTTCGACTCCTCGATGAATCGAACGTCGCTGCATATCGTTAACATAATTTAAACAAATCGACGCGAGTTTTTTGCGCTACGTTCGTCGACTTCTGCGCGCGTCCAACAAGGAAACGATCGTTTTCCAGGAAGCGAAGCAAGGCGACGCGGAGAAGAAACTGGAGTATCTGGAGCAAAGATTGGACGTCGAACTGGGCACCTTCAACTTGAACGACGCTTACGAGGAGGCCATCAGGTATCCCTTCAGGGCTGGTGCAGCCAGGGCAGTGGTCGGTGTCCTCGCCAACCCTTGCGAGAAGAGTCCGCTCCCTGTTTCTGTAAGCACCGTTTTTTACGGAATTATTTCATGTCACATTCCCACCATCGTTAATATTCTTTTCTTACCCATACCTTTCTGCATGAGGTCTAAAAAAAAATGTGCTCTTTCAGCTGCAGCAATTAAGACTCCTGATGGGACAGAAAATATATCAAGATCTTGGCCTTACTTATTACCACGTGTCCTTCCCTAAAGAGCTCCTCGTATCTGGCAAGCCGCAGAAGAATATCGTCGGGTACGACCAAGACAGCGTGTTCACGTTCGCTGACAGCAAAAAGAAGCCACTCAGCGGGAACAGTGACATGAAGAACAATCTCGTCGCCTCAACCACTGACGTCTGCGCTGACTTCGCGGTTACCGTAAGTGTTCAACAAGTGATCTTTGCCTATTATTAAGAACGCACGCTCGAGCGTTTCACCGCCGTCCCAATATCTCTGAAACTGTTGGCTTCAAACTAGGGCTACCTCACCATTCGCCATACCTCAAAATTCAAATTTCCATCAATTTATGAACAACTGAACAAAAATTTCGATCATAAGTAGTAACCAAAAAATGTTAAACTTGATATTTTTAAAAAATGTTATAGTCTGGCGGAGCGGCATTCAGCGTGAACAACTTCGTGGACGCGAAGCCGAACCAGAAGAAACAATTCATCCAAGTGGCCGCGAGGAGGATCGCCGATGGCCTCGCTAGCGTAGAGATCCAGAGAGATTGTTTGTGCGACTACCAGTTTGGTGTTTCCGGACGAGCCAAGTGCAAAATTGTCGGTCGCAAAGAGAAGGAATTACCCGCGGTAAGAAAATAAACCCCTGTCGTATCGATTTTGCTCTCCGGAGTAAAATATGAAAGCTATTCCATACTATGCCTGCGCAGTACCATTCTGTAGTTCGGTAGTACAGTAATTCCTCGCGATTTGTCACTGACTCGAGACAATTAGCGAGGCAGGTAGGCGTTCCATGACCTTCCAAGCTATTTATGTGTCTCCTACGCAACTATCTGCGCAGGTATAGTAGGCCTGCTTCGTCGTTTCTCCGCTCGCGGCGCTAGCAGTGGAGTGTACGTTTTAAGTCCCGTACGAACTAGTTACTTAACATTACTATACCACTCTAAATATAATCTCTATTTTTTATGCTACAGAGACACACCAAGGGAGGAGCGAAGGAATAAGGGGAGGCAGCTGCGCCGAGCAGACTACCATTACTAATTAATTTAGGTGTAATGTATTTTATTACTTTGTTATAATACGGCAGGCGTCTTTTGATACTCGTAGCCATCAAGATCGTTAGACATCCAAAGGACGGGTGACCTCAGTTACGAAACGCGCGAGGACTGAGCGATCCGCCTTACCTTCTGTACATCGAAATTCCCCGCAGAATATACATCCATTGCCCCCCCCCCCTACTCCTATGTTTTTTTTTTTTTTATTTGCACTAGACAACGGTGAGAAACGTAATTATTCACTGTGCCAAGTGAACTCGTTACTTAGGTTAAGTTGTTACCCCTGAGCCGGGCGCCGGTATTAATTAAACGTTAAACGCACGACGATAAATGTTGTACGGGAGCGTACCCCCCCCCCCTCCCCCCCTCCCCCAACTACCCCACCCACACCCGTTCGCGTAATACGGGACGTCGATTCGATTTACGGGTACGATTTGTACGGCTTACCTTTATTGAATTAAGATACCGATGCTGCACGACTCGAGCTAATCTGAATTCAATACCCGACCACCCGTACCGTTTTTTATCGCCGATACGCATGACGATCTTACGCGCTGTAATGTTATGGTTTTGTGAAGAAATATACGTACATTGTTCTTACATGTACCATACAGCGGTTCGTTATTCGTGCACCCGCTCCTTGAAATTGGTCCTGAGTTTTACAACGTTCAAACCGAGGCTGGGACTACTTGAATTTATTCAAATACTCTGAGAGTAATTCGAACATTAAACAATTCGAATACTTCAATGTTCAATTTCGTTAAGCACTGATCAAGTATTTGAATACTTGACTACTTGACTATTCGCATGGACGCGAATCAATTCAGGACGAGCAGAGCAGAGTTTCAGGGATGAATATTTATGAATTCAGGGTCGAAAAAGCGTCGTGGCTCGCGTTTCAGCGAAACGACGCGTCGTTTATCATTGATTTTATCTGCTAAACACAACCCCCTTTTCCCAAGAAATCTGCAATTACCGTCACGCCTTTCATGCACAATGTTTCGTTCGAGGGTTGGTTCCTTTTTTACTTAAAAATGTCCCCATCTTCGTTCCGCTTCCTCTTCTTTCCTAAAACATATTTTTTGGGGGGGACGTTATTAGTGCAATCGAAGGCTTCGCGATACTTTTTTAGCCACGTTTACTTACGCGATCGAAGTGTTTTTTTAAGCGTCTCCTCGTCGCGGTGACGTTAATGCTACGCTAAAGTTACGTTGGTCACGTTAGTGAAGTTTGCATGCACACCATTTACGGTCGCCACCGTCGTGTATCTGCACCTGAAATCAAAATTCCTTGCCAGGTTAATGAGGGAGAGTCATCAGATAACGGGCGTCCATCGTGCGCCTCGCTTATTTTTAAAACGTTAATCATTCGCAAACTGCCCTCACCGAAGGGAAGATCTTTTGTATCGAACGTATACACACGGTCCCGATGTATCATAGTAAAATCTAGAAATTGCACCGTAGAGGAGACAGCATTGGTCGAACGCAAACTGGATGTACACGCGATAAGTTTTATCGCTGGACGTAAGAATTAAAATTGACAATTGGAGCGTAACTGTACTCTGCAATTGAACGCACGAAACCTTACGGTTCGATCGTCTACGGCAAATCAAATTATTTTCTTTCGACCGTATGAAAACGCCTCTAACGACAAATCAATGCACGATATCCTAATAACTTTTTAACAACTTCATAAATGTTCGTCATGCTTTTTTATACTATACGATTCTATCGTTTCTTTTCACCGTCGATGTTTACCAAGTGATTCAGAACACGAGAAAAACGATCGTTATAAATTTTAAATTATGTAAACTCGTTCATTAACTAAAAGATATTAAAGCTAATTCGAGAAAACAATTTTCCTACGTTATTCACGCATCGTTATTAAAATTGCAATTACAGTTTTCTTGGAAGTGTCCTTCCCAATGATATACAACGCTAGAACCACTGACATTTAATGTATTCCTAGTTTTATATCCATGTTCACTTTGTTTAATGGAAAAGTTATAATCGAACGAAAACAATATTTACAATTTATTTTCGTGCTTTAAATTCTGAAAATATTTTATTATGGATTCCCAGGAATCTTGGTAATTGAAAAATATTTATTAACCGATAATACTAAAAAATCTTCGCTGTTATGAAGATACGTTCCAACGCAGAAACTTCCAACGAGGAAATTGAATCACTTGGCAAGTATTGTATAATCTGCACCAGACGGATCTACTTGACTGACCTACTTGGCTGATGCGAGACTACTTAACCCTTTGGCAACTACCTCCGTATCTCGCGCGGAACTCGTGCTCCGCACACGTCGATGACTTCAGTGCAATAAATGTCAACCGACACCGTCGGCCATTCTTGTTCCCAGCTAATATACATACAACGATGCAGTAAAAAATAGAAAAATATAGCAGGATCAAAATCAATTGCTCAAGAACACTTCCTGTACTATTAATCACTTTTATTTTTGGCGAAGAGAGGAGTGGGGAGCAACTGAACAGCGCGAACAGTCGCTTTGAAGTTACTCTGAGCAGCCATTGCTAGAGTAGCATCAGAATATTGATGAATAGTTTCCCTGAGATGAGAATCTGACTGATTGAGAACATAAAAAAAGTGACCATGAGCAATTAAGTTTAACCAATAAATGTATATCTCCCTCTTTCCTGTTCGTGAGACAGTTTCGCAAAATTTTGCCACGTTTGATCGGGTATCGAGATACCTAAACTTGAGCCGGATTGCGTGAACTTTGCAAAGATAAAGAAAGTTCAAGGCGGAACACCGCGTCGTCAATTTAATGAAAACTTTCCACTTCCCGCGGCCGAGAGCCCGCGTGCGAACGAAGAAAACTCGATTTTAATGAAATTGCTCGAACCCACGAAGACCGATTTTAATAAAATCACGGAAACTCGTGGCAAAGAAATCGAAATGCAATACTCGAATTCCAGGGAATATTTCGTTCCGGTGAAAAGGCTAACCAATCTCTTTACAGCACGGAACAGCGCAAGGGACGCTTTTCCGCCGAGACTCGAAATATTCGACGGGACTTTCGAGATGCTTGTAACGTGGCGTTTCTGATAAAATTTTGTGCTGTGAAAATAAATAATATACAAATAACAATAATAACATAACGGAGATAATACTTAATCGTAATGTTTATTCTAGAAAGCTGATTTATGTCAGGTGAAACGCAAAATGTGAAGCTAAAAATGGACGGTGGAGATAACGATAAGAAAATGTCATTGTAGATAAATAATATTAATATTTACATTTCACCTATCATGGATCAACGTTTTAGTCAGATATTACATGTTTTATATTACTTTTCTGAGACTAATTGCTATAAATAATTGTATGCTATTACCAGTAACAATAAACGTGTTTATGTGTGTTCGTGTGTGATTGTACGCGTAGAAAATGGATTAAAAAATTTTTTCTCACGCTTTTGATCACTTTTCAAGATAACACGGTGTAATTTTCAGGTAATAATCTTTATTGTTACTCGAGTTTATTACATGTTTCCTGCATTCCGCTGTTTGACATGTCTTAACAATGGATCGACGAATCCTCTTCAAATGCACACATATTAAATGGATATTTCTTTATCGTGTGAATCAAAATTATGACATCTACAATAGTTTTTTTCAAAGTCACCTTTGAATCTTGACGATGACTCCATCTGGAACAAACTTATTAAACTACTTAAAATGGGACAATTTATAGATTAAAAAATCACAAAATATAGTTAATTTTGTACTAATACTTGCAGAATGTTAACGAAGAAACAATAACAAGTTCCGCGTACCAATAATTGAAGGTGATCTTGGAAGCTGAAGAAAAAGTCATTCAAGGTCAGGGTAGGTCATAGAAAATGATAGAGTAACGATGTTTACGTTGCAATGAATGCTCGAAATGGTCACCATTAGCATCGATTACAATTATAAGACGTACATGACGCAGCGGTTCAAAGACTGAGCATTGCATCGATGTTAACGCGTTCACGCCATGGTGGTCACGGTTGACCGTCGCTCACAACTTACAACATTCCTTTCAAATACTTGAATAAACTTTTAAACAATATTAGAGCCATCAGAAATGTCCTCAAGAACACCAATTATTGAATACCTTGCTTTTTAGAAGACATTCTTAAACATGAAAAAAAGGTGCGGCAGTCAACACTGTAAAAAATTCATAAACTCCAATGTGTTACCATTTTTTAAAATGATTGACTCTTTTTTTTTTATCGTAGATACCTCTTATGTAGTCCAATTCGTCCCAATCGAGAATCCATTTAGATTTTCCATTTCAAATGTGCATAACAACGTCAACAGTTCTGACTCGAGTTGCACTAACAAACTTCCTGTTGACCATCGTTTTTTTCTAATACATTTCCTGCCTCTCTGGCTACTCGTGTTCTTGTACACGTGATTACTTCAGTTGTTGACGGTGTCTTCGATGCTTTCTCGATGGATAACCACAGCGCGTTACGTAAATTGAAGTTTACCTTTTGAAGTCGGCTGTTCGCAGCGACACGTGGGATTCGTTTCTCAAAATTGCAAGGCACTTATTCACCTAGGCCGAAAGTGGGATGAAACGATGCGCAGCCGTGCGTTTTTATACGTCGAACAAAGGACTGCGCGACCGAGGACACAATGGCCAGCCGAAGATGGACAGGAAATAATTCGCAATAAAAAATACTTAACGCTCCGGCAGGAATGATGTAAGTGGAATGAATCGCTAAATAGGGTTGCCTTCGTGTTCTTGGATCTTACGTAGAATTATTCTGCAATTCGTGACACATTCGTCCAAAAGATAAGTCGACTGTGTACAACAGTTCCAGTCGTTTGTGAGGTAACGTCCAGTTACATCACAGAAGCTCGTTTATAAGTGCACATAATGGAGAAGTATCATTTAGCGCGAAGACTCGAATAGTCTCTTCGTTTATTGGTCTTTTAATTGAGCTCTCAAAACAGAGCTGCAACGGCTTGCATTTATTTATATTCGAATATAATTCGAATACTTGAGTATTTGAACAGTACGATGTGGACTATAAATCAAGTTCGTTTATTATTCGAATACTTTATTTTTCAAATATTTGACTATTCGTATCATTCAGTACGTGGGCCCAAATAGTCTTTTAATCTAATGAAATTAAATTACGTAAGAGAGAGAATTGCGTTTTATCGCTTCGTTAGCGCCGTTCCGGGATAATAAACTTTACGTTGCAAAAAGTCAAAGTGGCAGCTTAAAGATAAATCTTCTTTTGCTAGAAAACATATTCTTGTTCCTTATACAAGATGTCCTGTAATTAGTGGCGCAAGAAAAAGGGAATGATTCCTTATCCAAAGCATAAGTCAATAATGTAGAATAAAATCCTGTTATAGTATCTGTAGTCAGGTAACAATTAATTTACATCATCCTCAATTTCAGGAGCTCATCTGCTAATACATATAACGAAGAAGTACTATTCAATATAGTGAGTGTCCAGATATTCACTTAACCCTCCATAACCTCGTGTTAAAATTTACCATTCGATTTATGTACAATTTATAGACGTTCATGCCTTGTTACGCAATTCTTTCGTAAGATTCAACAATGATTTCAGTTATAGAGGGTTACTTTGGTAGACTTAAATTATATAAGAGAAAAAATTCGTCATTGTTTTATTAATATTATATCATATCGATCCGCAAGGACAATTCAAACTTTATATTGTGGCAAATAGAAGATAAACCTGATAATTCATATAAGAGTCGTGCGATACAATACGTCCAGAACTAAAATACCAAACTAGATCATTGAAGTCCATACGAGCAATCTATCGGTTTACGGAACATATTTTCGACGACAGAAATCTCTCTAAAATTGTTCCAAGCAAAATTAACGCGTCCGATACTAACCGTGAATATAATTAGCGACAGTATTCAGAAGGTAATTGATCGCTTGAATTGACTCGAGAAAAAAAAAAAAAGAACTATTAAGTTCGATCGCTCAATAAGTACTGTTCAGGTTCAATTAAAATACCACGAGTTCAACTGTCGCTGGAACGATTCTATGTCGCGTTCATGTAACAACGCCGATGATAAAACAGAAAACAAATAAGAGAGTTTGCTTACATCACACGCAGATTACACATGTCCGCTGTTTTTTTTTTTTTTGTTCAGCCTCGATCTGCGTCTAGCGCGAACGTGGAGGTTCGGTATCGATCTGCAAGAAGTTGTGTAGAACGATACGGTCGCGAATCTTCCTCAATGAGCGTCGTTTTATTTCACGTATTTGACAAAAAAAAAACCACGAAAAGCAAAATGGCTATTGGCTTCGACATCGAGATTCGAAGGACGACGCATCTAAGCTACTTGCGCCCCAGAAGGATCAACGCGATCTGTACGACAGATGAAATGGAACGAAACGCGTGTAGCAGCTACGGCGGCTCGTTTAATTCGCAATCAATTGATACCAAACGTTCCCTGCTACGAGAAACACACGGATTCGTGTTGGATGTAAAAGAATAATTTACAAGTACGCGGTTCCTCCGAGACAGAAGTGTGTCTACTAATATTTAAATAATTTTTATTGAATATCATAGGTAATATGAATTAGCAAAGATCATACCCACAGCGGCGTTTCACTTAAATAAAGAACAATACTGTTCATAAAACACTGATCATATATACCTGCACATTCTGCACGGCCTTCGCTCTTGTTTTCTTCCCGTTCCTCTCATTGTCTCACTCTCTCCTTGTTTCTCTTCCTCTTCCACTCTCTCACGCTCATTTACACCGTGAATCTCTCTCTCTCTCTCTCTTCGTCAACGTCGGCAACATCGTCTAATTAACACTTTATATGGTACTTAGAGAGCACGCGCATTCGTGTTCACACACTCACACGCACATGTATGCATATAAACCACAGCTGCATCTGCATCCCGCACGCGTATGCACCTAGAATGTTACATCTATATGTGATTGTACCTAATAAGCATGAACTTTCCACGACCGAGGTGTGCCCTCGTATCCGGTACGATTATAAATATCCTGAAATCAAGGATCCCCTACTTTCGTAAGCTGCATTAAATAAAATGTACAATACCGTCCTCGTCGTGTCAAGTAAATTTGTACCAGCTAGAAACGAAGTTCGATATCGGCACGCTACACGTGGCCGCCATCACTGCGAGACGAAACTAGACGCTGGAACTATTTCTCAAACTTCTCCGTGTTTGAATACTTCAGCATGCACGGCGATTCAAATACTCTGCGAATACAACATGAACACTCGACTATTCAAATACTATTCCAATACTCAACTACTCGAATTGACTACTCGTTCTAACAACGGTATTTAAATACTCGAGTATTCGAAATCTATTCGCAGTGTTCGAGTACCTGCTAAATATTCGAACATGGAATCGTTCGAATAGTCCCAGCCCTAGGACGAAACTCCAACGAGCGCATCTTCGTGTACCATAGTTGCTTCCGAAATGATCGATCATCAGCAGCCATGAGAACCTTGAACGCCGTTAATAACTGTAGACAGAGAAGTTGCATAAAATGGCCACCTCTCGGGTGATCTTTTACACAATGTAAATACATAAAAAAAAAGAAGAAAAAACAAACAAACACCTTGTGCAAGGAACGAGTCTGTTTACATAAGCGCGTTGAACCGAGGAGTATTTTTCTCTAGCTAAATCCTGAAACGTGCGACCGCTCCGCGAGGAACCGTCCTCCGGAGGCGGTCGTGGCAGTACACGAAGAGTACACCTGGTTATTCCGGTTTTGTTTTTGGGGAAAAGAACGCCTATCGAGGGTCCAAGTTAGTTGCTATACAATTCTTATCTTCTAAAAATCTTAAATAAATCTCGGTAAGGCAGTGCCAGCACGGTGGTACATGTACGGCGGAGGGGGCGGTCCAGAGTAGTGCCTCTGGTGCTGGTGAGGAAGCGAGGACCTGTGCGAGCCCATGGTTCCGTTCGACGGTGACACGTGCTGCAGAAGATGAGAGGTTCCGTCACCGAGATCCAGCTCCAGCTCTTGCTCCTCTATCAGCTGCAAAGCTCCAAAGGAGGCTGTCGCCATTGCTACGTCCGGCATCACGCCGGACAACTGTCCATCGCTGCACGAGTTGCTTTCTTGTTGCTGAAGCACACAACGGGCAGACATTCGTTCCAAGAGTTTCTTGCAGAGCGGTTTACCGAAGCTACACGCGTTTCTTACCTCAGCGAGGAGTCTACAGCTTTCACCCTCGGTGACTATAGCTGGAAGCTCGTGTCTATGCGTGCAAGACGAAGCTGGCCGTGGGAACGTCATGTTTCTACCGTAGCACAATGGTGGAGCTGTCCTTGGATTCATCCCCATACCCGGGGAATCCATGTCTTCGATATCGGTCAGTCTCTCGTTTTGCTCCTTCACGTTGTACGCGGCTGTGTTCTGCAACAATACATAGAAACGGAGGTTTTAGTTTCGTGACAAATATTCCCAAAATACCTGCGCCGTTATATCGCGCGTCTGAAAATACCGGAAGGACGGGACAGCGCGGAAACAGGACATAAAACATAATTGCAACTTTAACAAGGAAACGTGTCCAAAGCCCTTCCAGGCGAACACGAGCTTAACGCTCAACGGAAACCAACGGTGCTTAGCAAACTTCGTAACTGGAGTCTCGAACAGAGAAAGGCTAACACCTACTGCGTCATTCATTAACCGTAGGATCCAAGGCATTTAGCGATGGCTCCCGAAATCCTTCTACCGAAACGATTCCAAGGGCTGACGTCAAATCCTGAATAGCGTGGGTGCACTATTAGGAACTGAACCATTAGGAGGATCACCATAAGATAAGGGGAACGCTTTTCGACTCCGCCTATGGATTACGATTCCCCCCCCCACATGGCTCAGTAGTTGTGTGACGACAGCGGGTCTGACAGACTACTTGAAAAAATATTCTGCAATTGAATATTCGAATACGTGTCTACTGAAAGACTCAAGTATTCGAATACTATTTCAATACTTGACAATTTAAATAGATACAAACACGACAGGTAATCGATTCTGTGGCACTAAAATGCTATACAAAAATTAGGATACAGCCCAGAAGGTTAAAAAAATCAACTTATCGTCGCTGTATCCTACAATTGGATCTCTCAACCAACGTCCATTCTATAGGTGCACCTGATCCAACAAACGAATACTTTCCAAAGCATTCGATCGAGAACAGAATACAAATGAGCACGGTATTCGTCGAGAGACTACCTTTTGGGACACGTTCAGCCTCATCCCTGCTTGTAAAGGATTGATCTGATATTCCTGCATCCCCCGACACGTACTCGCGAGTTCTAACGCGTACCGTTCGGACATAATCCGTATCGAAGCTGAAAGATGGAGATACCATCAATGAGCGTCGAAAAGAGGGAGTATAGGGGTCAAAGTCAAACGGTAACGAAGCTCGGCTCAGTTGTCACGGCTACGCTGTGCCAGGCAGCCGCGTCGACGGAGCGCATTCGACTGCTCCTGCGTTTCTTTGAACTCTCGGGACACTGCAACAGGTATTTCCGTTTCCATCCCTAACGCGAGGCTTCCTGTCAACGCTCGTATTCGTGTTAACGCGTTGTTAACACACTGCTGACCGCTAATGCTTTGCTAAAATCTTCTGTGAGCCCGGTGATTTCAAATACAATTATTTTTGGAAATAAGCATTTACATACTCGAAGTATTTCTACCTGGATATAAGTAACTCTAACAAGATTGATAACCATCCGTTATTAAATTTGAAATATTGGCCGTTTTAGAATCTTCTTTCCTTCCATTTTTAATCAGAGAATATTGAAACTTAGTTTAACAACGTTTGGATTGAAAGAAACCAATGTACGAAGATTTATACGATGGGGCCTGGACTGAATTAACTACAGTCAATTCATAGTTCAATGAAACTGACCTCCGATGCATGTATTTAAATGCTCTGTGCTTTCTGTCATACGTGGCTGCTATTCCTAAATATATCTGCTTCCATGTAACTTATGCGCGTTTAATACATATATGCAGATCCTCTAGTTAGTATAATTACATTATACCGATAGGTTAATCTCATTAAAATAACAAAGTATATTTGCATTAAATTAAATTAAAACTTCATCACGAATGGAACATTCAGATTTAGTCTGCTAAAGATTTAACGATTCTTGGAGATAATATTGCAAAGCTCGCATTGAAATTCCATGGAAGACTATTCGAAGCACTTGAATTACTTGACCATTCGTATACTCTGGAATCTGAATATAGTGTGGACTGATCTGTTTAGACCATTTTAAGACATTCAAATTGTTCAAATGGCACAACAAAATGGTGACGCTTCGATATAAAAAGTTCACTTTTTTTTTGCAACAAAAAGTATCGATTTTTTTTTAAATTCCGGACCGGAATGGCCCCTTAAGAGCTAACTATCGAATAAACGTTACGAGCAATTTTTGCCTAACTCCGTGCAGCGCTCTATCGCGCAGTCATGCATCTGGCCGTGATTGCATAATAGCGAAATTGAACAGCAACGAGATAAGTAACCGATCGACCGGAAAACTACCGACAATGATGTTACCGGAAAGGTTTCCGCACTTTTGTTGCAACGATACGTCACAAAGAGCCATCAGAGGTGTTCTCGAGTCTTTGCCATGTAAATGTTAATTGACTGTTTACCGAAACGATGCTCCGGGCGACAACGAGCATCTATCTTTTTACATTGAATCAATAGTTAATCGTTCGAAGAAAATCCAAATGACGATGAGTGGGTCTAACATTTAAAAAGCAATGTGCAACGTTCGATATCGGCAACGTTCGATCCCGGGCGAAATATTGTACGTTCAAATATTTAAGATTCGACGTCACGCGAGTAGTAAAACTGGTCTGGTCTTTTTTGCAACCTAGATTTCATACGTACAAATATTTGATGTGAGATATCGAATGCGTGGGGGATTACTGTCCTCAAACATTGGAGCAAAACAGCGAATTAACACTATGCTAACACTGAAATACTCGAAATGATATATTACAGAAGGCTAAAATTAAAATCAGACAATTTCTCTTCAAACAATAAACACTAAATTAAAATGAATAATACAGAAATATGGCAACTTCTCATGTAGTTTAGAAATGCTTCTAAAGCCAAAGCTGTCTCCAAATATCGAAGAGGACACAAAGTCTATCTAGTACAATATTAGATTATTTAGAACTTTGAAATGAAAGAAAAAACTGTCATGAAACGTTCGAGGAAAAAAGAGTCGCTTGGTTTAGAGCATTCCTGAATTCGCAATCGAATGCAGTTTCAAGAAATGTGAATCTCAGGGGAACAGAGAAATAGTTTATGCAGCTGCCAAGGGATTTCAGGTTGTATATCGAATAGAGGAATACCAATCAGCTGGCAAAAAGTATCAGCTGCGATTCTAGTTTCCACTTTCTCTTGCCCTAATGTCTTCATAACCGGCGAATTGCATGGGAAAGGAAGCCAGTTAGTCGGTTCTTGCGATTGAACGCCGTGGCCCGAAGAAACGTTGCATTTATCTATTATTTTCTTCCGTTCCGTTTCGTCACAAATGTTCCAGTTACGGCCATTCGTTTCTCATTAGGCGACAAACTCGCGTTAAACGACGTACCGATCGTTTCTGAAAACCAAGCCTGCACAGCCAGCTGTATAAATTGTCGTCTTCTCTCTGGAACTGTGACCATTCGAGTAATTTGTAATGATAAATTTTGAAGATACAAATTCGGAAAGTAATACATCTGTCTGCAGTATTTAAACATTACATCTTGTCATCAGCTGATTCAGGTCACACATACGAATGTACTGTTGTGGTGAGTGAAATCGATGATCCTTAGAAGTTGATCAATAATCTGCATGTATATAGACATCTATAAATACAGTTGCATATAAACACGAGTACAGTGGCACGTTCGCGTCTTAGATTAGCGTATTGTGGGGCACGATTCGTGGCTACATCTGAAATGAAAATCAACTACGAGAATGATGATCGATTTAAACTCGATGTATAGTTTGCATCGCGCTGTTCGAATAATATAGTACTTGAATACTATTCGAATACTTGATGTATTGAAATTGTTCAGTATTTGAATGGTATTCGAATAGATCAATATTCTCTATAGTCAAGTATTCAAATATTAAATGAAAATTCGAATATCCAAGTACTTGAATGATATTCGAATACTTCATGTATTCAAATTGTACAGTATTTGAATGGTATTCGAATAGATCAATATTCTCTATAGTCAAGTATTCAAATATTAAATGAAAATTCGAATATCCAAGTACTCAAATTATTGTACGTATTTAAATTGCTCAATATTCGAGTGGTATTCAGAAAAGCTATTAGAACGTTGTGTTGCGTTCCTCGTCAAAGGTTTCTCTTACTATTCTCGAATATGTTATCACCGAAAAATTAAAGAGTATTCGAATACGAAAAACACTTGATAAATTCAAGCCCTACTTCCACCGAATGACACCGACAGAAACGATTACAGAATTTGCGCCATGTGTGCGACGGTTATCGCATTACGCTAGATTTCTCGATGCGCTGCGCAAACTATAAATAGCGCCTGCTTCCAAGTGGCCTTAGCTGCGTCGAAACGACGGGTTGTTTAACAGTGTTTTTTCAACATTTGTCGTCGCTGTGCATTTTGTACGTTGGCTTCCCCGTGGAATTCGGGTCATTGAGAACTGGTGAACGATACAGAAGGTCGAATCTTAAACGCCGCCTTGAAATTAAAGAGAATACGGTATTTTTGTGTGACAAATAATTCATCGAATGTGTCTAATTGAATTCTATTGTAAATACGAGCTGCGCGACGCCGTCGTTCGGCTTCGAGACGAAGTGCCCGCGCGTCTCGGTGCTCGATTCGTCTTTCGAACGAATTCTATCCGCGATAGGGCGCATTTTACGTGATTCTAAAGTGTAACGAGTGTGAGGTGACAAACGTATGTACCTAAGATGAAACGTTGCCACGCGCTCCCCCTGGCAGCGATGAATTAATTAACATCCACGGCGAAGGAGGCGTGAAATACCATTCGACGAATAAATATTTATGAGGGAAATGCAATTAAAAACAATGGGAAGCGTGTATCTGATTTCGATTAGCGGAATAATTACCTGTCGCCGCGGTGCGTGAATTTTTTTTCTCATCGGAACAATAACATTGCTTCGCGATAACGCAATGGGGGAGTCGTCAAGGTTGAAAACTGTATCAAACCGTCGGTGTGCTTTTACGAAGGGATACCACGAGTACCATTATTCAATCGGGTCGAAAAGTGTAGGAAAGGTGGACGAATAGTATCAGTGCATTCATTTCTACTCTGTTTGCGATGGAATGTTCGAAAGTACCAGCTTGTTGCACCAAGTAACTGTGGATCTATAGAACAGATTCGGTTTGATTCGGTCTGTCCAAGGATCGATACAAATTACATCGACATTCTCTAGTTTTGAACACGAGTATTTATACGCGTATTTTAATTACGCATCATCGTGTTTTTTTCCTTTTTTTTCACTTCGTCATCGCGATTCAAATTGAATATTAAATCATTTTCTACTTGCAACTGATCGTCTTCTCATTAATAATACACTATTTGTCGCGTATACGGTGTGCTCCATAATAAACAGAACACGTGTAATTTAAATACAAGTATGTAGTTTAGTTATTAGATTGCTAGTAGTGATAAAAAATATTCAATGATACAAATTATTTATGCTAGTGTCAATTTCTTGATTGCTAATATTTTTTACTATGTCGCAACACGAACGACATCAAATTCCAAGTAGAATATATAAAAAAAAATTATAGAATTGCTCTTGCGCGAGAATAGCAACTAACGAACCGTTCACCAACTCTACATCCGCCCAATAATACTTTCTAATCCATTTTCCTAATCATATAGAAAATATTTAAGTGTTCCAACGACATGCACGTATTTGAGTTTTAATCGATACCATGTATTTTTAGGATCGATATCTGCCTCACAGTTCTGATAATTGATCGACGAGTATGTCGAAATCACCGTAGCACGTTGCCGTTGAAAACAAAGCGAAAACAGTAAATCGTTCCGCAGAATCCCGCGAAAGTGACAAACGCGCGTCACGTTGAGTATTACCGTCTAAGAGGGCGTTTAATTCCCCTGGATAATGATCTCTCGCAACGGGTGTAATTACACACTATGCCCGTAATGCATCGTCGTGTTACGCAATGAAGTCAAACGAATTGTCGCCGATGCGCTCTCGCGAAATGCTTGTCCGCCGGAGACGATGAAAATTTTCACGGAAAAACGAAATCGAGAGTCAGAATTGAAGTGGGGCTGCTTCTACGCGAAAAATACTTTTTCATTCGAGGATTCGTGTCGTGCAATAGGATCATATCAAACCTACTTTTGGCATTTCTAAATATTCTTCACCAAAATACGCTTAGTTTGCATTTCTAAACATGAAAATCCTCCAATCCGTTCAGAAGTTATGATATTAAAAAAAATTCAGGGAAATAGTCATGGTCCGCCATTATATTCTCGGGGAGGAATTTTTTTCTCAGAAACGCGTAGGATTTCGAGGGTATGCCTATTCACCAAAAATGATTGTAATTGACCCCCGGAACTGAAAATAATTTTTCCAGAAAAATTTGAAATATTTTTTTTCGCCGCAAAAATTTCACATCTACACGAATTTTTTTCTCGAAAGTGGTTAGGATTTCGAGGGTACGCCTATTCACCAAAAATGATTGTAATTGACCCCCGGAACCAAAAATAATTTTTTTAGAACAATATGAAATTTTTTAATTTCACCGTAAAATGTATCCACTTATTGAATTTTTTTCTCGAAACTGGTTAGGATTTCGAGGGTATGCCTATTCACCAAAAATAATTCTAATCGACATCTGCGACCAAACATAATTTTTTTAGAACGATTTGAAATTTTTTTTTTCGCCGCAAAAATTTCACACCTACATGAATTTTTTTCTCGAAACTGGTTAGGAATTCGAGGGTATGTCTATTCACCAAAAATGATTGTAATTGACCCCCGGAACCAAAAATAATTTTTTTAGAACGATTTGAAATTTTTTAATTTTGTCGAAAAATGTCAGCACCTACCCCCTGTTGATTTTTCTTAAAAATTCGTTTTTCACTTATAATAAACACAACCTTGGTTAATGTAGTACTAAAATTCATTAATAAACAGTACAATATATAAAATTCCTACGCTTTATTCGTCTCTGAGAAACCAAGCCTCGAACGAAAAAGATTTTATCCATAATTTTCAATTTGAATCATCCCTTTCTGAGTTATTTACGCTGGAACACGCTGTATATAATGATTTATTCCGATCACCCGCTGGTCTCCTCCCGCTCGCGTGAGAAAACGGTGTTTAAGAACCATCGCGGAAGTCATTCGAGATAATATCAGGCCGCTACCTGACGTTGTAAATAATTTGTCACCAATCGTTTTGCATTGGAGGCACGAAGCACGTGCAATTTTCAACTGCGAAAATCGCCGTGTGTTTACATCGTACGTCACGTATGACGACGAAGCGGATACGAACGCAATCGCGTAATGGCTGTAGCCCCGTTTCCGTACGAGATTGGGACTTGCATACAAATGTTACATTTGTTTGCAAACTAGCATTTTTTTTACGTACAATATCGAGTTCGGTTTTTGGGAACACTTGAGAGTAAAATTCTAAAAATTCTAAAAATAAATAAATTTGTTTTCTCATTTGACGTTGATGTTACTATTTTCCTAATGCTTGCACTAGTTCCGGTTTTAAAAATGTTTAACCAGAGAGTCGACTAACACACTCGTGACAACATTAGGGTCGTTTGCTTGCATCCAATTATGCTCAGATATTAGAGTTAGTTTATAACTGTGAGGCATTATCTTATGCTTATTTACGTCTAATAATATGTTGCAACGAGGTCGGAAATAATTCTCACGCGATTTTCGAACCGTTGATAAAACTGCATAAATTTGTTGGAAGTGCGAAACAATGAGAGGATCGGATAAATCGATCGATCGTCACGGGACATTTAATTTACATCGAAAACCTATCACTCGTTCGTAATACCGATGACTCGATTTTATCTCATTGATCACCCTGGCGCTTGTAACAGACAGGTGAATAGATAATTATGTGCGCACCGAGACATACCATAACAGTTCTCTGTGCATAATTTTCATACCATTTTCATATCGGGCATTTGCATTTCTCACGATTTCCTATTACAAGAAGTTGAAATTAGTTGCAAGGTTGCGCTTTCAAACTAATAATACATCCACGAACAAAAATATAAATTTCCAGCCTCGGTTTCTCTTGTCCCGATCACTTTTTGTGCACTTCGATCGAAATACTTCGACCGTGGAGAGGGGATTAAAAATTTTATATGCAAACATGAATGAAAAACGTAGGATAAAATTCGCCCGTAAAAACGCGCGGGAAATTGAGATTTGCTGGTCACGTGCGCGCGCAACCGTGTACTTTAAAGATCGATTTTCTCGAAAACCAAGAGCTCTATGAAAGAACGAAAAGATTCAAATTTTTAAAATTTAATAATCAAAGGATCGAGATTAGATTACTTAGATTATTTATATGAAATAAGCCGTCTAATATTTTACAGTGACTGAGCAAAATTTTTAAATCACCCACCAATTGTTTAAGTATCCTCAAACACCGAAGACGCGCAACGCATCCGCTAATTTTCATCATTGCACAACTTGCTCAATGCGGTTGGAAATATGAATTACTCCGTCGGCTAAACGCGACGCGGCACGTGTTTTCTTATGGTAATCCGATGATGCAAGTTTTTGAAAAATTACCAGCACGCGTTTTGCTCCACGCGCCTAGTACCTTTATCTCTAACGATCGCAAAACTTGAACTATAAAAACGATTTGCATTAATGCCCGCTAATCGCGCGGTTAATCGATATTCAAGAGGGTGATTGGATTCCACGGAAATAGGGGCTGGGACCATTTGAATAACTCGCCATTCGAGTATTTTACAGGTGTTCGAATTCTACGAATAAACATTGAATATTTGAGTATTCTAATATCAAGCAATTCATCAAACATTGGAATACCGCTATTCAAACATTATCGTATATTATTATCACTATAGTGACTGACAAATAGCATCAAGTATTCGAATAGTATTCAAATTATTTTCGCCAAGTATTCGAATAGTTAAATATTCAAAGAGTATTCAAACACTCGAATTCTTATCGCTGCTGCACTAAGTGAATTGTTTCGTACCCTTCGCAATAACATTCTGCAACGACTTGCACGATTGATAAACGGGGGGAAAAAAATGAATATGTATTGCTGATAAATGTTATCGTAGGCGACTTGTCTGCTGTCCAACAATCGGTCATATTATTTTCACATTTCTGATACGAAGCATTGCCTTCGCTTCCTTCGGCTCTGTAGACTTAAAATATTAGTGATCTAATCATCATTTTGCTGTCTTAAGCGAAGAATCAAATCGAAGACTTTTGAAAAAGTAAATCACTAAAAAAACAGTATTTACCGTTTCATCCGTAGCTGTACAAATAAACAAATCTTAATCTTCATCGATCAATTGTTTATCTCGTTCCTGTATAATCAATAAAATTCAAAGACGTACTCTTTGTGTAGAAACGATACTTTGTGCCAATTGAAATTATGCAATTCCTTGAACGCAAGACGTCGCGAACATTCAACAAAGATAATGACTAATGTTATGCGAGGTTGTTTATGAATAGCTCTAGTTTACCTATGCGTTTGTAATCGCTCGCGATAGCAAAAGACAACTTGAGGATTAGAGAAACGACTTCGTGTGACTGTAGATACCTATAACATACTGAATTTATAGCGTTTACATTAATTTCGTTAAACCATCTCTGTGTAGCTATTGTGTTAAGTGACTTTTCTTCTATGTTGTAACTTCAAGCAAGAGAGAAACCTCAGAGTACCTGAAACACTAATGTCCTCCATCCATTAACACATACATTAAGAGGGTAGACACGGGTAATACAGAGCAAGTCACGTGACAAATTTAATTCAGACAGTCGCTCACGAGATTATGCGCCATCGCGTGGCGACTGCCTGAACTAAATCCCATTTCATCTTAATACCCCTATTACTAAAGATGTAATAACATGCAAATGATATTATAATAAGTGGAAAAGAAGCCATATATTAAATATCAGCTTCTTTAGCTAGACCTCTACTTAACCAAGATGTTACTTTTAAGCTAAGAACTTGTGAACAAAGTTTCACGGTACCTATGATATCTTCATGAACGCAACAAATGTACTTCTAGGTAAATAATGTCTCCATCGATCGATCCACTCCCAGTACTGAACTTGGACACGGTTCTGACCCAAAATCTTGGCAAAGACCTTCAAGTGAAGTACCTAGAATGGAGGCCGCTAACTGCCCCGGGAGAGAACTTTGGAAGCATAATGCTAGCTATCGACGTCACAGTGACACGGGCTAACAAAACGGAGACTCTGAACCTGGTCGTTAAACTTCCACCCACGTCTGCCTATCTGCTGGACTTGTTCAACAGTCCTGTTACGTTCAAGAAGGAACTGTTGTTCTATAGCAAAATGGCCAAGGAGTTCACGAATCTCCAGTTGGAAAGTGGCGTGAGAGAAGAGGCCCTGAGCATCATCACGCCCAACTACTTTGGAGGAAGACTAGGTATACGCGACCCAGAGAATTTCGACGAGCAAGCCCTGATAATTTTGGAGAATCTAAAGTGCAGTGGCTACAGCACAGAGGACAGGATACTGGGACTCGATAAGAAGCACGCGGAGTTTGCTCTGGAGGAACTGGCCAAGTTGCACGCGCTAACCATCGCCCTGAAGATCAAGAAGCCTCAATTGTTTCAGAAAATGGCGTTAGAGGTATTGGTAGAGGTTATGAGCGAAACGACAGAGAAATGCGTAATCGACATGATTCGCAAGGCGCAAACGGACATAAAGGACATCGAGGAGGCTAAACCGTATCTAGATCGCGTGAACAGGACCATCGAGTTTGGCATACAGCTGAACAAGAACGCGAAGAAGCCAGAGGAACCGTGGGCGACTCTGGTTCATAACGATTTCTGGGTGAACAACATGATGTTTCGCCACGACGAACACGGCGAGCTGATCGACATGAAGATCGTGGACTTCCAGTTGTGCGTATACGATTACGGCATCAACGATCTTATCTTCTTCCTCGTGTCCAGCGTGAGGAATGATATCCTGGACAATAAACTGAACGATATGATCGATTATTACTATTATTCTTTCATCAAAATGTTGAAGATGTTGAACGTCGACACCGAGAAGTTCACCAAGCAGAAATTCGACGAAATCGTCGACTATTGCGGACCAGTGAAGTTCAACCAGTGCATGATGATGGCTCAAGTGATTCAAGCGCCACGGGAATCTGCTCCCGAGATCAAGGATCTGAAAGACGACATCTTCTTGAATCGAGGCGTCGACGACAAATACAAGCAGAAATTGCTGCACATCGTTCACCTCTTCGACAAAAGGGGATGGCTGATTAAATAGTATTTAATGCCGCTGTTGTTGTATTCTTAGAAAATTTGTTAAAAGATCGAATAGTATTTTTATACGCGAACATTTTCAAAGTACAAATTCGTGAAGAACGACAACGAATGTTTATATATAATTATGTTTGTATGAAAGTCGGTGTATATAGAGTAAATTATAGATAAACAGCATATAGTATTTAAGAGTAATCTAATATCGAGAAAAAGACCAAATATGTTCGTGATATTCGTAACACTAACAAGTTTTAAAAATTAAATATTTGTTTAGAGAGAATTCTACTTCGTTACGCGTTGTTCTATGCTTTCAAGTATCTGTACTACTTTCTACATCCGTCAGTCGATTCCAATAATGATGCTTTTGTTTTGCAGAGGAAATGGCATTAGCAGTTTTCATTAAATTTAATAAGCTCCGTTATTTTTCCGACATACTGTGTATACATATAACTACCATATACATATAGTAATTATTTAAAATAAAACAACCATCTTCTATTTCTATGCTAGAAAGAAGGAAATTGTCACACTTTGTTTAACGTTCACTCTTCAATAATGGTACGAATACCGGTCGAAGAGTGAAGAATCATACACGAGGCACGTACCTACGAGTCACGTTGCCATAACTGTGAAATTAGTTCTTTTCCAAATGACTGTGCATTCGTCATTGGATTTTGAATAAAGATAAAACACTAACTACAGTATAAATGGGCCTTGAAGTCTGAAAATTGGCCGAGATAACGTAATACTACAGTCATCGACGCATTTATGCAAATATTACACATATACCTATCTGCAACCGTTTGAAAATTTACGCGATGGTCATATTTCTAAGTACTTTGCGATTAAATGAAATAGATATATCACAAACAGAATCTCCATTTTGAGACATGACCATTTAACCTCTTTTTTAGCCTTGACTGATCGAGTCAAGTAAACGTATATGTAAAAAAAAAAAAGTACTCACTTCTAGAAGGTCCGCCACCGTGTCAGGTAAGTTGAATTCCCTCACGACACGCAGCCGAACTTGCCTGTTGATCTCGTGACGCGACGAAAGTGGTAAACTGATAGCCCTCTGACAACTGGGGGACTGTCTCAATTTCTGCTCCCGTTTCATCATAGCTGCCAGGGTCACAGAGTCTGGAACTTAAATGCAACAGAAGTATGAGAACATTTTTTAACCTATAAACTAACACGACGAGAAAACGACGTCTCAAGTACCTGGAAACGCCGCAGCGAGAACATCCACTCCAGCTGTGCCAATTGGTCTCGGTTTCTCTTCAACCATGTACAAGGCATCAGGAATATCGGCCACGTACCGTGGCCTTCGCAATCTCACCAAATCTGCTTCTTGGACCATTTGTTCCTCAACTAAAGACTGTAGAAAGATGACTAGTGCATAATCGATGAGCAACAAAATATATTTCGTATTTTTCCATGCATCTTTGTTGCAACATGTACCTTTATTTCCTCGTAATAAGGCATGAACAAGCGAGGCCTTACAAAAAATCCATTTTTCTTCCCTCCCCTTATCCAAGCATTCATACGCAGGTTCTCCCTCTCGTCCCCTATCATGTGACTGGGTGGGGTTGAAACTAATCCTCTTCTGATAGCCTAACATACATTTTTACTATTGTTCAACGTCTTTACAAATGTTAGATAATAAATTTTAATAACTTTCAACGCGTCGAGCAACTGTGTATCTCTCCATGATGACTTGTAAAGTTCTATCGCTCTTATTAGAAAACCCTATTGATGATTTTGGGGAGGAATTCAAGGGAGTCATACCTGAGCCAGCGCTTCACTATTGGGCGGTAATATGTGATCCATTCTGACAAGCGGTAGAAGCTCGCTGAGTATCTCTCGCAACTCTATATCGCTCAGATCACGTTTCTTCAACCCCTTCCTTGTCACCGAGTGCACCGTGTGGCTGAGTAAATTAGGCTCCCGATCTTCCATACGTCGCACCAACTCCTGCTCCCCCCACTTGAGTACTGCCTGCAGTATTTCAAGCTCGCTGGCTTGCAAAAAGTGGCTTTGCAAAACGTTCGCTAAATGCGCGTGATCTAACTGATGGAGGATAGAGGAAGAGGCGACCGGCTGAAATTCCTCCCTCAAGTAATGCAACGCTTGTCTGTGTACCCATGCAGACCCGTGAGGTTGACTGCCCCACCTATAAACAAGCGTATTCAAACAACGATAAGTAGATAATTACACGGGGAAGAACTAATTATATCTCTATGACCCTCTATGACTCTGAGATCACATATTTATATATTGGATTGAGTCATACCCAATAATCACTGTTTCTAAATGTCTTATTATATGATATATTCAGGGAACAAAAGTAATTTGGGTCATAGAGAGTTAAACTGACAACGGATCGTGGAATACTCACTTCAAGACGGCTGGAAGCGATTCCAATGTAAGATATTCTAAAATAAGATCTTCACAACCCTGTGATAATATATCTAGCTCTAAAAATCTGCCGATTTGGTACAATTCCATTGCTTCCTCTAGGGGACTTGGTCGAACTCGGCCAGTGTGAGTGAGAGCTTGAACCTGAGAACGAATACATGGAAGGGACGTCGATAAAAAAAATTAGCGATAATTTGGAGACACGTGATAAATCCCTTGGGATCGATGCACGAGAAATATCGAAGACGATTTAAGTTAGTTGAATATATCGGGTCATTTCATAAGTTTTTCATTTGCAACGTCAGTTTTATCTGTAGTCAAGTAATTAGCGATCAAAAAATTAGTTTATTAACAAGTATTAAAGGGTCAAACAACCACTTATTATTATTATTATTCAATGTCCTGAAGTTACCTGAACTTCTTAGCCAAGCTACCGATATAGGAATAAACATCGAAATTTGGGGGAAAACGGAACAGGATTCGGACAATTTCTTTTGGTGAAAGATGAGGTCTTGACGGAGTAGTAAAAAAAAATAAACGGCGACTTATGAAACGACTCCGATATGTTGTGAGAAATAACGTAGTTACCTCTCCGAGACTACCAGCGCTGCTTCCGCAACCATTACCTCTCATTATTAACGATAAATCAACGGTATCTAAATACACTGCATGTAATAATACTCTGGCGTATCTTTTGGGTATTACACTCTCGTCCAAAACTATTCTAGTAGGTATATGAAGCGCCCTTTCTGTGTGATCTTCCCCCGATCTAGTCCGTCTTTGTATCAAGTTCCTGAAGAACGGGGATCTCGCAGAAAGTATCGCTTTATGACATGGCAGTTCTAACTTTGGCCGGAATCCGTATTCTGAACTTCCACTATCTGGTCTCTGGTAATCACTGTCCGACGTGAACACTAGCGCCGCGTCCGCGTAGTCGCCGGTGTCGAGCAAGTATCTGAGATCGTGCTCGAGCAGATTGGGCGTGCCAAATTCTTCGCCCAGTCTTCGCAGAAGGTTCGCCTCCAGGGCTGCATCGTGTGGACAAATATCACCAGTGTAGAGATACCGCAGCAGCGCTGAGAATATCTGTACTTCGAGATTCGGTGTTCTCAGCTCCAGGCATATCCTAGCACCGTATCCTGAAAAATCGAAGGAAACACGCTGTTATATTTTCTCTACTGATTCTTCTCAAAACAAGTTTCCTAATCCCTGATCCAAAAGGCGACTGTTATTTCGTTAATTTCTAAAAGCAATCTGAAGAATTTGGACCCTGGACTGTGATCCCTTGATTCGCGACTGTAAATGAAAGGAGTTTGTTTATGTACCCGGGCATCCGGTCAGCAGGTCCCTGAAGTATGGACAGCGTGCCGACAGCAAGGCTCTGTGAACGGGGAAACACGCCCCACGGTATACGAGATCCACGTCGGAACAATGCTTGTAGTCGTACAACATCGACAGGTCTTGCTTGTACGTGGCAGCTGGTGGTCTCGCTAATTCGGCTTGGACATGGAGATCCTTTAACGCAGCCAGCGCCTCGTACTCCTCCAGGAGCGCTGTTGCCTCCAGGTGGCTCCATGTCGACACCAAATCTCGTATTATTCTACCGTGGTCGCAGGCCTTCGAAGAACGACGTCTTCGAATGAACTTCTTGCGCAGCGTCGCGAACCCCGTCATTTTCTTCTTCTTTTCCCTGGGAATGGAATAAATAAAACGATAAAGCCCAAGCGTACAACTCAAGACCTTCCAGTTTACACTGTACTTATCGAAGTTTAACATTATTCGTATTTATTTTTCGTTTATTATTTGAATTCTAATTGTTCTTGGATCGCGGGAGCTCGATCAAGACCATTTAAACAGTCTTCGTTTATCAAATTTCGTAATCGTTAATCCGGGGGTGAGAAATGTTTATTAAGGAACTCGGTAGCACCAGCTGTACACCGTTTAATAGATCTTTACCAACGTTGATCGGCACGATAAACTGAGAAGTACAAACGAGATAGCGTAGGTAAATGTTTGAATACCTGATAGCAATGCCATGTTGATCAGGATTACCAGAAGATGAGAGTCTAGCTGCTTGGACCGAATCTCCACCTACACTGGTGATGCTTGACGATGCAGAAGCACCCATTCTATGTATCATGTAAGAAGCATCTCCACGCCGTCTTTTCACGAACCAACAATCCCTTTTATCGGAATTATCTACCTCCTTTGGTCGTCTACGTTGCAATACACACGGAGTCAAAATTCGGAATACATTCATTGCTCACCCAGAGAACAGCCTGAAATCATCGATGCATCCGTATACGATAAACGATCCCCTTTTGTTCATTTTCTTTATCAATAATATTCGCTCAAGTTTCCAACCATCCCATTGAAACTTAATATAGACATTTTTCTCAATATTTTGATCTACGTTAATTCATTTTCCTTCCTCAGAGCAAAGATAATATTCTCATCTTAATTATTTCTTTTTTAATTTTCTTCGTTAAACACTTCCGTTTAGAATATTGTTAGAAACGTTCTCCAGTCGATTATATAAATTTACTTGCGCAATACCAAAGATCTACATTTTGTTATTCGACCGCAAGCCACTCAATTTAATTTACGACCCGAAGAAATTCGAAACTATCGTAAATGACTTATTTATTCGCATACATGCATTAATCTTACACACACAGCAATCGCTATCTTTATGTACAAATTACATTACTTGAAATCACTGCATTTTCAATGTCAACATTTCAGAGCAACGATGCCAAATTCAACAAACACATAATTCTCGTTCTTCGATGGACTGTTAAACATTCTTATTACGGTCGATTTTAATGCAAGCAAAATTTTCGGCTCGAAACGAAATCCGCGTTATGAAAATTATAAATTGAAATTTATTCATGAATAAATTTCCCCCGATTTTATACATTTCGTAATTTAATAATGTATTCAAAATATTTCCTTTCTCGACGTTTGTTGCTATTAAAGCTCGCGCACGCGATGGCAGACCGTTTAATGAAAAATAACGAAAGTCGTCAATTGCATCTGAAACTTTCACTTTGTTAGCCAACGTACGATATTTACCTAGAAAGTGCACTGCATTGATTTGGAAGCTCCTTTTTTTAAATGGATATCTCAATGCTCGATACTTTTCTCACCCATTTCCGACGAAATTATCGAAGCTTGAAAGAAATAAAGTTTTGGAAATCACCACATGTTAACTAATCGATAATTAGTTTCTAACAATTATCATATCAGGCTGCTCCAGAAATTAACTTCCTTTATAAAGCTTAAATTATTAGATCTATGCACATGCTCTACACACAAGCACTATTTTTACATAATACGCCAATATAATATCAACAAATTTAATTATATAATATTTTTACATTAATATATTTTAATATTTTTCCAATTATTATTTAACGCGCGGCTGTAAATTAAAAAATAAGCAAAAGTATTCTGTTAGACACCTAGACAAGTAAAATAATCATAACATCTAGTAGATCATTTTTAAAAAACTCCAGATTGTTCAACAAAAATTTGTAAACCACAAGGAAAATAGGATGGGAATTCATTTGTTGTTTTAAAGCTCACTTTTGTTTTTACAAATACGAAAAATTAAAAATATACATCACCGTATCAAATTTCATGATAAACTGCACCTAAAATGCAAAGCAAAACAGAGACAAACATAAGCTCATATATTTTTTGTTTGACCAAAAATACAATTCAATCAAAACCCTACAGCAATATTTTTCCTTTATTATATTTAATAACACCTTTACAGAAAACAGTATAAGCAAATTTGAAGCATATAGACTTCTAATTTATACATGCATAAGTTTACTACACCAAAGAAAAAGAAACATAAATGCATACATTTATATAGATTGCGCAAATACTCATAATGGGGCATGATCAATTCCAATTTCACTGGCACGTTATTTGAAAGTGTTTCTCAAACTGTGGTACACGAAGCCCCCGAAGCATACTTGTGGGAACAAATCTGTTTACTTATTGCTATTAAAGCGGAGTGTCTGTGCTTGCTGAAAAAGAAATCAATTCGTTGCTAAATGGCATTAAATAAATCCAAAAATATTTTCGTGCAATGCTTTGGTACACAACATCTAAAAAGTTTTAAACCATTTAAATGGAATAAAAATTTGCAGCACGTAAATAATATATTGAAAAACATTTTCAGAGTATATTAAAAAAAATAACGACTTAACTCTACGGTTCCGTTATGTTTTCCTTTACGAGGATATCCGCGGGAAGACGGAAGTTTGAGAAACACTGAAATTTGAAAGAAATTCGAGGCGAAACGCACCGCACGAAAAATCAACGTTTCCGCTGACGAGGGTATCGCGCGAGAGTAAATAAGAGCGAAGGGCATTGTGTACAGCACCATTAGAAAACAGCCCAGAAAACTTCCACTGACAGCACCACCAATAGGTCAATAGTAGTCAGCTGAGCTATGATTGCGATCGCGTTACGTGGGTTAACAATGCATATGACGTACGCCTGGCGAAGTTCAGTCACCTTCGGCGCGATTACGTGGAAAAAGAACGGAGAACGAAATAAAACACGGTGAACGTATCTAATACGAACGTGCAGTTAGGTGCCATGGACGAGACGATGTCAAGTACGATTCGACGGGAAGATTGGTAATAACGACGATGGACGGGAACGTAGCAGGTCGTAACGAAGGCGTCTCGCTTACCTGGATATTTCTGGGGCACGCGTTCCGTCCATTATTTCCATTCCGGGGCTCCATCGAGTTCAGACTGACACGAGTAATCATCACAGAGCGCGACGGCCATGTTTATACTCGTCGACTCAGCCTGAACCGTAAATAAGTTGTCGCAGCACAGTGCGTTACAATTCGTGGCCCGGTCCTCCTCCATATCACCGAAATTTCGCGTAATGTTCTACGAGGAACGGGTATTCGGCCGCGTTGAACGAACACGGCCGTGCAGCTCGATACGCATAATTTCGAGCACAGGGGATCGTCGTCCCGTCGCGCGAAAACAAACTCCGACGGTGGTCATGCTAACCGCGTTGTTGTTGGCTCGGTGATAGCGGCACAAAAATAACGCGTAACGTCGAGAATAGAGAGCGCGTGTTTACGTTCGCGACGCTTTCACAGATAACAGTACATCGTTTAAGGCATGCACACAGCTACAGAATTTTTCTGGCACAGAAAGATCTTATTCGTTTTGATCATGCGCGACTACCGCGATCCGGACTCCCGTGACTTGATCGTACCGGGGGCCTCGGATATCTGAGAGGTTAGGTTTATCGGTACGTGACGTTATTGACAACAATATCAACGAAGCACTGACGCGTTGTTTTTGTTTAAACGAATTCCACGACCGTAGCACGATTGTTGCAAACTGTTATCCTGCGTTTCCATGGAACTAATGAACTCTTTACCCTAAAGGTGGAGCCACAATTCAGGCGTCCATGGCAACGGTTCACTGGTTCGCCGCTAGGAACAGCGAATCAAATTTAATATTCGGATGTTACAGAATTTTTTATTTTATCGCGATATAACTTTGTTCATGACGAGATATGTAAATATTTTGTTACATATTGGGAGTATAAATATGTTTCCACCATTTTCATAGGAAATTTCTATATTAATATGTCATAAACTGTATAATATTTTGCAGTTCAAATATTTTCCATTAGTTTCTATCATTTTTTTAATTATATTAAAGGATAGATACCACGATGAAAGACTTTTTTAACTTCTGCATTTCGCAATCGTAATCTGATAGCACTAAGTCTGATATACAGGGTGTGATAAGATTTCCCTCCCATTCCAATTCCATTAACGTTTCACGGGTTATCAATGGAACATTAATCAATGAAACTGTATAGCAAGGTTACGTTATTTCGGTCCTTTCTTCATAATCTTTTCAATTAAATTCTCAAATTATTGACAATATAAAGCTACCATAAAATTTTGCTTCGAATTTAATAACTCGTAGTATAGAACCCAGTGAATCTATTAAATACATAGTTGTATCTTGCATTCGTAGTGTTTTCACTGGCAAATTGTAAAGAATTATGGAAACTTCTCATAACGTGACGCTACTTTTATAGAGGTTAACTAGCACTACGAAAATCAAGAAACGAATAGAAATGCATTACAATAACGTGCAGAATCACTTATGTTCAAACGATAGAAACTTTAACATACCTCTAATATTATATTAATATAAAGAATATAACAAAAATACAAAAATTATTTGAATAAATCATTATACTTCTTCCATTATGTGTTTTCAACGAAACAATGTCTGATTTTAATATTAAATTAACACTTGTCCCATGTATAGTAGGAAATATTGCTGGTCAGTAATGGGGAACACGAGTTGGCCGACAGATGGTACAAATCGATCAATAAAGGGGGTCGAATACAAGTTTCACTATGATTTTCTTATAAATATTCAAATAACACTAGAGAACTAAGATTACATACTTTAGTAAGATATTATTGAGTTTAATAATGGGGACATGTACCTTGTTCGAAAAATATCAAAGCCTGATAATAGTATACGCTCAGCAACAATTTTGAAGCAGTAACAAGCCTCGTTCGCATCATTTTTCTACTGTCGAAGGACTTGCGAGAATTAATCGTTATTCGCAGCCATCTAACGTTAAACATGACAAACGTCATCAACGTTCATAGCGTCATCTGCGATTGTATCGAGTTGGAAGGTTGGAACTAAATCTGTTCGAGCTCAGCAGAACGATGATACAGCGAAGGTGGTAACAATCTGATCTCGATTGAATCGTGTACGTCGAGTGTTAAAAATCGGGAGGGAAAGTGAGAGGTACTCGTGTTGTGTGTTATTCAACCTGGACACGTCGAACGAAATCACGATTTCGTGAACGCACAGCCGTGACGAGTTAACCCACTGACTGATAAAATGCAGTAAGTTTCAAAAGGTTTTCTCGCGTTATCATTCTATGTAAATGTGTGCTCGTCGTGGTGTGTTCCCTTTGTCGCGTAGCTGTCACTTAAAATTTTTTCGAGTTACCATTTCGATAATGGGAATTTTGTTGAAAACGAATTCAACTTTCCAAGACCTCCCCCAGTTTTTCGTACAATCCGCGAACGCTCGTTTCGCTCTTGACGGGACCGTTTTTATTTGCACACACTTTTGTTTTCGTTTATGCTATATCGCGCGATATTACGTATGTGTACAGCTGTTTAAGCGGAATACGATACATATATCGTTTTGGCGCGCTCGAATATTTCGTACACGCTATCTTTCCTTACTTTATTTCAGTCCGTGGAACCTTCGACTCTTTAGAAAAACAGATTAGATTTCGAGATAACGAAAAAAACTTTTTTGTCGATTATTCGATGCAATGCCGCGAACGATATAGTTTCGAATATATTGCTAAGGCAGATGCTAAGGCAAATATATTCTTTACGTAAGTGATTTAATTTTACTTCGTGAAGAAAGTGAATATGACGTAAAAAAAATAACTGAAACCCGACAGACAATAACCGTCTCTCAGATTGTCGTATGTTATTGATACGCTACTGACGCAACATCGCTTTGTGCTCACCCAACGTTTCGCTCGCATTGTATTTATAAACAATTGATTTACAAAACTATTACAACGGAAATAATTTTGTAAATGAACAATCTGAACTTTATGCATTCGACGAACAAAGTAAAACTATGATTTTTAAAAAATATTTAATAAATAAATATAAATTTTTAATATTGTAATATTAACGTACCTGTGTTAAATGCAAACAATAGCTATTGTATCAGTGTACTTTGCACAGTATACATGACATAAGATACTCGAGTATGATGTAACATTATGTTGCAATCAATAATTTATGAATTGATAATGAACTAGATCTTGTTTTAAAATTGTTGGCTATGAGAACAATAAAATATTATAGTCTTTAACAGTCTGAGCATTGCAGTTTCCTTTGTACTTCTTTAACTGAATAATAATTATTGCTAATTTACAGATATGGAGTCATTCTTGGAATTATTTAACCCAGTAAGTCACAAAGATGCACAAAAGCACATGTGGAATGACTCAGAAAATGAGGGAAATGGAATTTCGGATTGTGAAAATTCAAGCATCGACGATGATCACGAGGAGAGACTACCACCAGAGCCAGAACAGGGGAACGTCGAATATAAGCTAAAATTAATAAATCCCTCTAGTCAACGATTCGAGCATTTAGTGACACAAATGAAGTGGCGTCTAAGAGAAGGACACGGAGAGGCTATTTACCAAATTGGTATGTAACAACTTGTCATTGTAACCCAGGTACGAATACGCATCGCAAAATATATAAACCTTGCGTGTTGTTTGTTAACAGGTGTGGAGGATAATGGTAGGCTGACTGGTTTAACTAGAGAAGACATGAAGGCGTCGTTAAAGACTCTAAACGATATGGCAGCCAGATTAGGTGCTGCAACGAGTATATTACGCGAAAGGCTTGCCAATTCTAAAAATAAAAATAGGTGCGGGCACGGTAACAACAAAGAGGAAAGACGCGTAGCGGAAGTTTTGGTGAAAAAAATAAGGAAGGGGGACAGAGAGGATCAGGACAGTATTGTCGATTTAAGGCTCGCAGTAACCGGTGCGCAGGACGCTGGGAAATCAACTCTCTTAGGTGAGAGGATTAGCAGAGGACATTTAAGGTAGAGAAATATACTTAGAGTTTGCTCTGCTATACTCATTGCTCGTCTAGTTTTTGAAAAATCGACCGAGACGTGTATGTTAATGCGTTCGCAATGTGTACAGGCGTACTGACCCAGGGTGAGTTAGATAATGGTAGAGGAAGGGCGAGACTTAATATGTTACGACATCTTCACGAGATAAAAACGGGTCGTACGTCGTCGATATCCCACGAAATCATAGGGTTTGATAGCGAGGGACACGTCTTGAATTATGCGGAAATGGCGACCGCGGAGGAAATATGCGAGCACGCTTCGAAAGTCGTTACGTTTATAGATTTAGCTGGCCATCGGAAATATTTAAGGACGACGGTGCTCGGTCTCACGGGTATAGTATTTTTCCCTAATTATAGGGTGAACCGCGTGAATTGTTACAAGTTTCACAAGGCTTATTAAAGAACAAACGGATTAAAATTAATTTACATCGACAACGCGGTTCACCCTGTACACAGATTGAATAACACACGGATGGGATTATTTAGGGTTTTACGGTCTTTCAGGATACTCCCCTCACCACGTTATGCTAGTCGTAGCACCGCCAATGAACGAAGCGTCTCAGGAACATATGGCTTTATGTCTAACTCTAGGACTCCCTTTCTTCATAGTCGTAAATAAAATTGACCTCGGTTTTTGTAGTACACCAGAGACGATAAATCAGCTAGAGGGCGCGATTAGCGCGCAGGGCTATTCCAAACAATTAGTAATGTATAACGAGAGTCTAACCGCGTGGGATTACGAGTCCGACATGATACCAGTGTTCAACGTCAGTTGCGTCACTGGCGAGGGTTTAGGTGATTTAACGAATTTCATAAAGAACTTATCACCGTACGATGTGAATTCTACGAATTCAGATTCCGAATCTTGCCTGTTCCAAATCGACGAAACCTTCAGGTAAGCATATAATTTTTACACGGAAGATGGTATTCGTCGCGATTTAAAACTGGATATGTATTTTTTTTTCTCGTTTTCTTACAGGGTAGCAGGACTGAACGAACCTGTTTTAGGCGGATTGCTCGTGAAAGGAGCAATCGCTCCCGGTACTCGATTACTGGTAGGACCTTTGCCAGACGGGGAGTTCAGTCCCGTCAAGGTCGTCAGTTTACATCGCAATAAGGCGCCATGTTGTTTAGTGAGAGCCTCGCAGAGTGCAAGCTTAACGCTAGCACCACCGACAAACAGAGGCCCTCCCCTGCCGCATCTTCGACCTGGAATGGTTTTGGTATCGTTATGGGACCAGCCACACGCGACACTGTTTTTCCAGGTACGTGCCTTTCCTGTTCCTATCGAGTGTAGCTCTATGGCGTAGAGATCGGTTAATTATGCAAATTGTTTAGGCCACTGTATTAATAGTGTACCATGCCACCGCAATATTCTCTGGTTTCCAAACGACAGTGCACGTGGGGAATGTAAGGCAAACGTGCATTATCAAAGGTATAATGGACGCAAACGATAGAGGATTGCAAACAAATGATACAGCTTCTGTGCTGTTCAGGTTTGTCAATCATCCAGAATATCTGCATGTCGGAATGCGATTGTTATTGAGGGAGGGTCGCACCAAAGGGATTGGTAAAATTACGCAGATATTTCCTTTGATAGGTCAACAAAGCGGTATGCAATAATTTAAACAAAATTCCACGTGTAAAAAGTATTAAGCGTTATAGATTGTTTAAAAGGTTGTAAGAAATTTAGTTATTTTAACGCAATACGTAATTGTAATACGTATCTAGTGTAAGTATTTGAAAATTATCAACTCTTTTAAAACAATTTCAGAGGGGTATATACGTTGTCAGTGTTGTGGACAAAATATGAAATAGATTTTTTTTTTTTTGGACATAGCGTGTGTGTATACACATACACATAGATATTTAATTTGATTTTCTGTTCCTTTTTCTCACCTGGGAGAAACTAATCCCAGGTGGATTTAAAACATTGAAAAATATGTTTCGGATTGTTAGGGATTGCGACGCTGCAAAACGAATTTATAATTTAGAAATATTTTTGCTTCGAGCGTCCAAACAACAAGATACTGCTTAAAGAGGAAAGAGACCTTACTGTCTCGTTAAATTTCATTCATCGTCGTGTTATTGTTTCAATATAGTATTTATGCAGTTATCGCTTAGGATTAATCTTATTTCGTATTACGAAGTAAATTATTGCCCAGTTAGTGTGATATTTTGAATAAAAAGAAAATTCTTTGTGAGTACAATCATTAAAATAATGCAATATTTCACCAAAAAAAAAAAATAAATGAAAAGTTAATCTTAAGTGTGAAAAATAAAAGTTTTAAAAGCGTATTGAAACTCGAACGATGCGGAATAAATATTTTTGTAATCGATTACTGTAAGGATCGAATACAATAGTGTTTAGTTCATAGAACTTTTAGAGCCGCAAGATTTTCTCTACCGTTAACAAATTACAGTCAACCTTCCTATAAATAAATTTATTCCAAATATTTTTGACGATCTTGAGAGTTTGTACATTAAAATTGATATGTATAAAAATTCAACAGTTTAATAAAACGGTCTCGAACTTTGGCCTATTTCCAAGGCACTACTGTATTATGTCACAGTATAGACGGAGAATTTCCTGCCCATTTTTGACGAAAATAGTGTGATGGAACTATTCGCGCTATGTGAGGATTATCGAAGTTTATATAAGACGTGTTAAATGGAAACCGTGTTGCAGGAACATCATGTAACAGGGGGACTATTGCAACTTGCGTACTGTGTTATATCGAAATTGTGATTTCAGAGTAGCATACTATAAGAGGATTGACTGTACCGTATCTTGGAAAAGCTACTTAATTACAGACGGTTGTACTTACAGGTATATTAAAAATTGAAAAAAAAAAAGAAGCCTTTAATATTATCTGAAAGTTACATGTTCTGTAAAAACATATATATCGACGCGTTATGTTGTAAATTATTACACAGCCGTCCAAAGTAAGATCTCCAAATTTATTTCTATTAAATCTCGATTGCAACATTGTATTATAAACTGTAAAGTACCTTGAATAAAACAAAAGATTTACATATCTAAACGCAATGAATTTCCTTGCATGCTTTGATAAAACTTTAAATTAATTTTAAAGTATGGCGGCAATGGTCACTCGTGAAATTAAATCAGAGAAAAATGACCATCAACGTGTGCTCTAAATATGACTTTTAATGTTAAGTCGTCATTAACAACACTTGTAATTATAAAACGTTTATTTATCACGATTATATAAAATCATTCTCTTAATAACTTACAGTAAATAGTGCTAGAATTTGCTTTTAACGATGCAACATTAAATTGCACGTGGATTAACATATGGACAGCGTTAAGTATCAAGAAAATACTGTTTCGTTAGGAATACAGATTCACCTTCAATAAATCGTTACAGCGCGATTAAATAGTAGCAGAATAGCATATTATACTCCGAGCTTGTAGTGATTCAAGGAAAACGATATAAATAAGTCGTACACAAACATTCACATTATCCTCTCATCGTATTCTGCACCCAGTCGAGCAAGTTTTGTTTAATCCTCGCACGATCTACGTTTACTCATTCAGAAATGGGGTGAATACGGTATCGTTACTATTCATACCGGATAAATAAAGTATTATTTTGTATCAAACTGTTTTGATACCTGCACGAAAGTATCGATACGCATCAATTTCCTATACCAATACTTTTGCAATGAACACATATCAACGTCAATACTGCGTGAACTGAATTAGTACCGATACTATTGTAAATGCATTGAAAATAAGAAACAAAATCTAGTCGATACGAAATAAACAGTTTGCAACTTTAAGTAAGTAGTTTTAATGATTAGATTTTGTTTCTTACGATATATTTACAATAATAGCGATAGTTACTAGGTATCCAATGGTATTAGAATCAACCAGTATTCAAAAAGTATCGGTATATCGTAACCTGACAAGTACCCGAGATTTCGATATCTTTCGATAGTCTCCATTAAGTAGTTACGCCACCGTCGCGGTGAAAAAGATTCAAAAAATTTTGGAATTAAAAAATTAATAATACTGTGCAACTTTGAATTTTCAAATACTGTTGAGATCAACACACATCTAAGGGCGTATTTGTAGAACAGCCCTTCGATATCGAAACTTATTGTTTCATTCATAGCGTTATATTATCGTTCTAAAATAAATTTCCAAAGGTACGTACCCACTGTTGTTGTCGCTGTCGAGGTGGCGTAATCTCTCAAATACTTTGGTATCGAATTGCTTGCGTATGATCAGTATGTATCGTATCAGTCGCATAACTAGTTAATCACCCGCATGACCAGCAGCGTGTCCATGAAAACAGATGCATACACGGTCGAAGCTATGACGGCAATAGTAAACAGTATTAATTAAAAGCTAAGAATTTCCTCTGCGCGATTAACTCTCTTCCGCAGTCCTGTGGCGCTCGGTAATCGAGAAGATCACGGATTACGTCGCGACGTAGTTCGGAGTAGGAGCGTTCACCGTGCCCCAGAAGAGTATTAGCCCCGTGGTGTCGTGTCTGATAAAGAATAAGAAAGGTCGATTCGCCACCAGCCTCTTCTGATTTCCATCGCGGTCCAACAGCACCGCTGTAACGGCCGCTGCCTCTGTGCCCTTCTCCGTGATGTCGATTTCCACCTTGTGCAAAACGTCAGACGCGTATAGATGCGGGTTCAGCAAGGTGGCGCTATTCCTGAGCTCGTCCAGCCCGTACGACGGGAAATCGCGACGTTTGATAAAGTCTAGGAAGTCCTGATCGATCGGTCTGCTCTGCCTCCTGTTCCTCTTCCGTTCACCATCTTGGAAACGGTACTTGTTCCCTTCGAGACTCACCACCTTGACGTTCTCAGCTTCAGATCCCTCCACTTTGTAAGACTCCTTGCCCTTTAACGTGTCCCTGGAATCGCGAGGCTTTCGAGACTTGATAGAGAACCCGGTGGACCATTGTTCCACGGTGTAACCGCGAGACTTGTCCTCGTACGTGAAGTAGTTCCTCCGCACCATGTGATCCGGTTTGTTCTTCCCGTCGATTCGCGAAGTGATTCTCGGGTTGTCCGTCGAGGACATTCTTCCTCCGAGTCCTTGAGACACGAGACTCAAGTCCGCCGTTCTCTGATCGAACAGGGACGTGAGGCCCAAGTTCGCGAGCGTCGACCTCAAGCTGAGGCTGCTCGACAGCTTCATTCGCGGCATACCGATTATACAGGTCTCGTTCTTCATGTTCCTTATCAGGTTCTCGATTATGTCGACGGTTAATCGATTTTGGAAACTGCGCAGGGCCTTTGCGCCTTTGGCTGCCGGCAGGATCACGTACATCGAGATCTGAGAAGGTTGCGATTTTATGTCTTGTTTACAGTCATAATATTTGCTTCAAATCATAACTTTGTTCAAATTTAATTAACAAAATAAAAGTAATTGGGTATCTTGGATTACTCACTTCACGGTCCTTGTAGGGAAGGCCAAGGATCTTAGCACCCAATTGTTTGTCTTCGTAGAAGGGAAATGGCCCCCCGTTGTACATCATGTCGATACCGATCGATTCATTCGGTTCGATGAAAAACGGTTTCCTGAACGTGCAATAAATAAATATAAATTACTGTGCAAAGGACGATAAAAATTCTTTGCAAATACTGGAAGCTAATGTCGAACAATTTATTTTCGTGGACGACCTTTAAATTATTTCGAGCATAATTAAACAGTTCGAGCGAACAGGTTCTCGTGTTCTCGAGAATCGAAAAAAAACTGAACCTTTTAGTGGCCCCTTGCAAAAAATGCTGGTTCCATTCTCCGTTAAAATACAGCGCCGATAAGAGGATGACGGTCGTCATTGGATTAGGCGCGTCGTTCAGGATGCTCGTGATCTTTCCCATCGTTTTCTGTTTCACCCACGCGTTTATCAGCTCCTGCGACAGTCTTCCGCTCCTGGCGAAGTCCACGTTTATCACCTCGGTGTCGTAGACGTTTTGACTGAGCGACTTGAATTGCGGGAGTATCGGATATCCGTCCTATCATCAAATTATTCAAAATGTTTGTGAGTATTTGGTATCATAATGCTTCTTCTGCGACAGCTTCGAATAAAATGGAATCAGATTTTAATACGAAGCTGATGGCTTTCAGGTTCCCAAATGCATATGTCTCAAAGTGTTTCAAGAAACAGATCTTCGATTCCTCGAGGAAGATGATACTCTACCTGCACAAACGCTGCTGTGGCGATGTCCACGCGAGGCCCGGACGATCCTGCTATTTTACTGTGTAGCTGGGTTAACAGTACACCGAACATCTGATGGACGACCTCCGAGTTCCGCGAGACGTCGACTCCGCCCTCCAGACCAAGGACCCTGGACACCTCGTCGAAGGTTCTGCCAGCAGAACCCGCGAGAACGATCGCCAGTGTCGTCGCCAGGCTGATCGGCGAGAAAACGATGTTGTCTCGCTGGTCGATCATCGACATGCTTCGAGTTTTGTAGATTTCTCTCTCCATGTCCAGCGCGAATTTCGTCACGCCTTTAACGATGATATCGTTCACCTACGATAGTTCGAACGATCATGTCTAATTATCTCTGGAGGTAATGAATTCTGAGGATTTAATGAATTCTACTTAAAACTGTAAGTCTCGATCAGATACTCAACGAACACCTAACTGCTGGATGTGACTGACCGTTCCTTTTGAACGACAAACTTCCCCGATCTTTGTACGGACATGAATTCACAGATAACAATTTTTTGTGACAGATGCAAAGCTGATTTGAAAGTTTCGGAATAAATATGCATCCACGATGCGTCATCGTCAAAGAAACAAAGAAAAAAATACTCGATAATTATGAGCTACTTCCTCGATCCACATTATGCAATCGTTCTTGAAATCGAGCCTCCGTTTCTGAGGATTTTAAACCTCTTGTGCTAGGTTGTAACAACGATAATTAGTATTCTCCCTAGTGCTAGAGCGTTAGAAAATGTTTAAGAATCGTTTTAATAATGCCATAAAGCTTGCATCATTTGTGAAGAATCTCTTCGGCACAACTCATACTTTACGAACTTGAACGATTCGTTAACAGATCCAGCGATTATGTCTCAAAGATCCTGTTAACACCTTTCACTAAACATTCTGAAGAGTGCTTACGTGATCACCCCAGTCCTGCAGCGGATTCTCGGTGGATTTTGAATCTACCTGCGGTTGCGATGAACTGACTGCAATCTCTTGAGGAACGTAGATAGTTTGTTCCGGTGGTAGCGGGTACGACGGCATACTTTGCGCGTTCCTCATCACGGAAGGCCTCGATTGACGGCCAGGTGTCGTATAAATATTCGGAGGTAGGACCGTCGAGGTCTTCATCCGCTCGTACTCGTCCGGGTAGATCAGTTGGGCGGAACTGCAGGCCAACAGGCCAAAGAACACCAACGCGATCGCCATTTCTGTAACAACAGCGAGTACAATAATTGAATGTGTTGATCAGAAGTAAACCAGCATTGCGTTTCTGTAAAGATACGGGCTGTATCTTCTACGTTCCATTATTGCCCTGTGGGAATACGCGACGTTAATTTCCTATTTAAGCGCGTTATCATAGTTTTCCATGCGCTCAGCAATGCCTGCAAACTTTTTAGTTATCGCGAGTACGAAAACTGAACCGGGGTCGTGTCACGATAATAAACTGTTTCATGGTCTGCGTTACGCTTTTCAAGCGTGGAATCAACCAAATCCTAAGCTCCTAATTTCAGTAATAATTCTATTAATTACTTTGCAAAGACTAGACTACTCTGAGTCGGTTTATCTCAACTAAAGATAGAGCAGCTCAGACTAGCGTTTGTTATCTTCAGTAAGGTCAGATTAACCTGGGTCAGTTTGTCTATCAGGGTTCGATTAGGGTTACTATTAGGATCAGGACTATTAGGAGCTTGATCTCTGCTAGGATTAGATTATTCTAGATCAGTATCTCTAAGGTCAGACTCAAGTTAGCCACTTTATCTCTACAAAGGCTGGACTAGTTCAGGTTTCTCTTTGCTGTAATATTTCAAAATAATCGACTTTTTATAATGTATAGAAAAATAATAATAAAAATAGAAAAAAAGTGTGTGACTATGGAAGTATTTTGAAGCGTAAAAACAATTATGGCATGACAATGCCAAGTGGCATTACAGTCATTAACGATTGTGAAAGCAATGGCGCTAATCTCCATCAGGCAAAGACCGAAACGCAGTTCCAATTCACTAAAACGTCGTGCTTCGTTCGTCAATGTGAACAACGAGGATATAATACGTTTCCCGTGTCCAACCGAACGAACAATAAGTATCGACTAGTGTGCGGCGGTTTTATGGCTACGCGGACGCTGCGAACGCGTCACTGATCACTGTAGGTGGCAATGTTGTGGTAGTGTACGATCATCCAGCGGGGAAAACCCACTATCGAATGTCACCCAACGTTAACTCTGCACGAGATTGATCGTGAGACGAGAGGAAACGCGTCCCGAAAAGATACACGACCCGTGACTGCTTAAAGTGCAATAAACGTTCCGCTAATGCGTAATAGAAACTACATTTGTTCGACGATTTTAAGATGACATTAACACGTTTATTGCTAGACCAAAAGATACAATTTGATTCGAAATGATACAGTTGCATGTAGGTACACGCGCTACCTTATTTGCTTATACCAGTTCTTGCGTGGTGCACCTTGTATAGGGACGTAAGAGGTCAAGGTTCTCGAGAGGTGTCAAGATCGAGGCGCAAGGGATAGCTCTAAAAGGAAATCGGCACGTTACGACATGAGATCGCAAGAAAATGTGCAGATAGCTATTGCAACTCCACGTGGTATTCAACGTGTCAGGTCATTCGTAAAGGTTAAACCACTTGTAGTCGTGTCCACGATGTGTCGTACATCTGTTGAGTTGCAACAACTGCCTTTGTACTTAATCAATGACTTTATAATAATCATGAGGTAATGAACGAGTAGTAACTTAATAAAATATTTGAAACGAACAAAATGAACTCTAAAGAATTGATTTACATCACTGTCTAAGACTATCGGTGATCCTTGGGGAGCCTCGATTGTTCAAGGACTATAATTACACCCGGAGCTATCTCTAGTTGCTTATCGTGTCTTAGGGGGGAAAAATAGCTTTCCAATAAATTCTCAGCTGCATCGAACACAGCCGTAGGAATTCCCTGAAGATCACAAGCTCGATGACCCTACATTACAGGTTTAGTCATCGTGCGGTGCATTCGCGAGGGTCGTTGCTGGACGCTATCATTGAGCAAGAATCTCGAACGAAGACAGAGGGGTGATAGTTATGGAAAAGAAACAACGATGCTTGATTAATCGCGTTGTAAATTGCTTTAGCGTCGCCGACGATCTTATCGCGCATCAGCTGTCGCCATAAAGATGCTAACTCGATTCAACTCGTATTTCGGTTATAAACGATTACCTTCCGTTGATTTTCACCGCTTCTATTTGCTAGTTTTACGGCCTCATTGCGTGATACAACCTTGATTTAATTGAATGATATTAAAAGGAACTTCAAAAATTAAGATTAAATTAAAACAGTACTCGAGGGAAGTATGAAAGTAAGGTACAAATTGGTCAATGAAACACCTTATGTAAACAGGACTTTCAGTGATCAATACATAGCCACTCAACGACGAGAGTTATTACAAAGATATTTTTGCAAGCAGGCGTTATTAAATGAATTAAGATTGTCAAGAATGACTACGTTCGAAACTCGTGTTCCTTTGATTACTCAATAATCATGGTTGGAGAACAATAAACAGCCAAATTGATCCGAATTATATCCCAATTACGAGGATCGCCCTTGAGCCGGCTTTTGTCTAAAGGCGTCGCGAATCAAGCCGTCATTACGCGTTTCTTTGGAGAAAATTACGTTTAGCGTGGCGATAATCGCGAGCAAAGTTGTGTGAGTCCTCACGGAACTGGTTCCGCGAACGTACAACGTCGAGGGGCCATGGAATTTGCATCCACGTGCCAGAACGTGCATTGCTCGAGAAACAAAACGAAATCAACGGAGAATATCGCGTCGCATTTTTTCAGAGGGAGAAAACAAAAAAATTTTAATTCGTGGAACGTCCCAAACGTCGTCAAAACCACATAAAACCCGTAATCTTACGATCTAAACTCGTTTTACCAAATTGTTACGTTCGCGAAATTTCGCAAAATATTCTCTGCATAACGACTCTCCAAATTTCACCGGTTTCGAACTTTCAAAACATAATGACATGCAGTGTCTGTTACGAGTTAATCTAAAATAATCATTCGTTAAATGTTTCTGCGCATCCTTGAATTCCTGACCTCCCTCAAATAACGCGAACTCTCTGATATAATTGCATTAGCAGTGTTTGGAGAAGCAACAATATTCAAATATTTGTTTGGTTCTTATAAAAAATGTTTAATTTCTCTAAGCATGCCATTACCGATATCATCCTTTGCCAAACGTTTCAATTGAAGTCAAAGGATTCTAATTCATAAATTTCATAATTTTTAAAATTTTTTAAAAATGAATTTTATTGTTCCCGTCTATGACATATACTCGAGCGTTGAGTTTACCTTTTCCAGCTTCTTCCGTCGCGAATCTCGTTTAGCTAGTGTCTCATCCAAGTCTTCGATGTATCTTCGAACACACCGGGAGCGTGTATTCTTTCAATTCCACTCAAACACCGCGATTCACCGATCGAGGATCGCTTGGATCTCGGTTGGACCGTTATTCGTCGAGCGTCGGTTATCGCGATAAATTTTCGAACGGAACTGTCAAACGCGCTGGAGGGACTCGCGTTTATCCTGAGCAGGAACTGTCGCGGTCTCTACGTCCGTATCGATCAACAGCCACGGCGCGACTGACTTCACTGACTCACACTTTGGGCTCCGTTTGTGCTTTGCTCGGTATCGTATTTACCGCATTTCTCCCTGCCGCTTCTCCGTGAGATGGTCATCCGGGTCGTGAGCGCGAAAGCAACCGTGTACAGGTCGTTACAAGGGTCGCCTACGTGATCCAGATATCGACTGTTACGATGACCGTGTCCGTAGAGGGATTATAAAGTCGACCAACCGGATTCCCCAAGAGATTAAGTCTTTGGAATACGTAGCTCGTTGTTTGGATTCGGGAGATATTGGCCGCTTCCGGGGAACGCGCGTTTGTTTTGATAGTTGACGCGCTCTTCGAGAGCTTGGAAGATGGATTTTCCCGACCGTCGATTTTTAGAACTTAGGACATTGCCAGGGAGAGAATCAGACGTATTAGTTTAGAATTTGCATCGATTTTAACAAAAAATCAATATTGATCAATGGAAACGTTAAGAATATACAGAATTGTTGTGTTCATTGTTTTAACATTACGAGAATTTAATCTAGAGGTCAAAAGAAATTTTATATAAAGTTTAATTGTTTAAGTTCAATCAATCATTTTGAAATCAGATTTTATAAATAGTACGACACAGAATATAGATTGCAAACATTAACTATACTAACCACGTAAACACAATCGACCTTCTACGTGCTGCATTACTTATTTTATTCAATATACATATTTCTCTTTGACTCTGAAATTTATATTTCTTCCCCCTTCTGTCGACACACGTTGAAGGGGATTCAAGTTAGCACAGATACATGGAATTCCCCCGAGCACTGACTTATGGAGTATGGTTTAACCTTTATAATTCTACTGGTACGTCGGAATGTACAGGGTGGAAAGAAATGTTTCGTGCAATAATTGACTTTTACTCAACCTTGACCTCAAAATTCAAGGTCAAGTTTTGTTTTAATCGCATCGTATTCTACTTGTTACACGGTTCACATTTGCCAAAAGAACCATATGGTACAAACTGACCGTTTCCCTAAAAAATGGTGACAAAGTTTTGTTATTGTTTGACCGAGTAAAATTAAGCCACGACATAAAAAAAGATGATCTAAGCGGCTGAAAAATGTCAGATAATGTAGTGTAATTATAGACATTTAGTTTAGTCTATCCTTCAGCGATAACACGTTGCAAACAAAATATGCATTGTTAAGATTAATGGTGCAAAATGTTTCCCGGTAACTGGTGCATTGAAACTTGCTACCTGTGTCAACAATGACGTATATGGAAGGAAGCTAAAGTTAACAATGAGGAATAATTTTCTTAGAAAATACATTTTTTCGATTGTAAGTAGCTGTTTGATAAGAATTTCTGAGTTATTATCTGCGTCAGTGAACCAGATATAGTCTATTCAAATAGTGACACACCTAGCCCTGCGATTACGTTCGCATCGATGAATAGTCTGCCTGTAGAGTGAATTTCTATAAATTTCGCAATTTTCACAAATGTGAATTCTTTCTTCAAATGACTCTGGTATGTTGACTTTCGTGTATTATTCATCAGTTTCACGAGAAGGTCGAAAGAGATAATTTCACTTTCTACAGTCGGTTCCACGACCCCTAAAAAAGAGACATGCAAAATTAGAGTTCGAAATTGGCTATCGTCGATTAAATTCCCGCGGTTGCCAATTAACCACATAGTAAAAATTCTCAAATAAATGATTAATTGCATGGATCATTTCTCTTCGATTAAAAGCGCCTACATTGTCGCGGAACGTAACAAGGTTTTGTTCGTCGATAAATCGACTCGCCTCGTACACAATTGCAGCGATACGATCTGGGGAAAGATAATGGTAATGATTTACGCAAAGATATAAATAGCATATCGATTGAATATGCGCTTCCAGTGAAATTATGGCAGACTATTGGAGGAAAACAGGGAATTTCCATAATTTAGTTTCAATGAAAAGCACAAGTATACATTTTGCTTGTCATGTTCCAAACAAACGGTCCTGCGTGACGAAATGGCGTAGCGCGTTATTACGACAAAAGGCGTTCGACTTATGCAAATGTGTTTCAAACGGTGACTCGATCGCCTATTCGCCGCAATATCATTTCGGATCGTGTCAATCAGTTGGGAATACCGAATCGTATTCTTGAATAATTCAGGATCGATTATCATAATAATCGATGAAAACGTTTGCAAGAGTTATTCGTGATCCAATTCAGAGATTCCCAACGAGAGACAAAATTTTGTTCGTTTTTTTCGCTATACATATGTATACTTTCGAATTATTTACAGACTCTTTAGGTACATCAGCGTAAAAAAAAAACGATTTACATGATTCACAGCGAGATACAGGGAGAAATGGGAATCCCGTGTCGGGGGCGTGGATCATCTTTTCTTTTTCGGTCAGATCCTTTGAGAAGAATCTTTAAATTCGCGTTGCTTCTCTCCCGAACTCCCAACCATACACGATAGGTTTGAAAATCGCATAAATCTATTTGTTTCTTCGATGAACAACATTTTAAAACAGAAAATAATAATATTATGCCTCGTCTGTGATATAGCTACCTAGTGGCGACATCTGTAGGCTAAAAAGTCACGTTTACTGAGCGTTGTAATCCCAAAAAGACGTCTAACAACAAATTTTTTGTATTTCTGGTATGAATAAATGAATTAGACTCTGTTTATGCAAAAATTAAACAAATTTTTTCAGTACTTATTTACATAGAGATACTTAAATGACGACTTTTAATCCACGATAAATAGTACTCCAGCTTCTTGCAATACAAAAGTAGAGCCTTCTTTGACAGATTTATATTATCCATGTTGTACCTTTGCGCAAACTTTTTTGAGAATTCTTTATTTACAGCTTCGTTTTTATGCTTGGATATTTCTACTTTTGCTGCTGTAAACAGTCTGTGCAATTCCGAAAGCGCAATAGCGATGTAAAAATATTTATTTCCTTCTTCCGGTCCTTGCATTATCAACTCTGCAGCTTCCTTGAACGCTGATAACGTTAATTCGTCTTGAGGCAACCAATTACACTTGGCAATGTTGTGAGCAACAGAACCTATTGCTGATAGATCATTTTCATACACTTTGTTTTGTTTCATATTATTAGAGAGGTCCAGAAAGACGACTGTAGCTTCTATTGGACAGTTTAAATAATCACCATTATAGTAATTTGCTATGTACGCGTACGCGTAAATTACGTTTGTTAAATTAAAACAAACGCTTGGAGAGGCTTTCTGTAAAAGATAAATACGTTCACTGTTTATAACAAAATTATTATTTCAAAGGAATTATTTTAATGTACCTGTAACTCATTGAATATTGGAACATCTATTAAGGAAGGATATTCTCTTGTTTGTTCAGAATCTTGTTGATTCAACTCTTGTACAAGTTTTCTTTTCATGTGATAAGTCCACCATGGGACCCATTGAGGTAGCAGCTTCTCTATTTCACCATTCTTTATTAATGCTTCAAATTCTTGTTTCTCAGCATCTGTTAATGTGGACCACACCTCATCTGGGTTATCCAAATTCACATTTTGTAACCGTTTTTCTAAATCTGGTACCTGAAACATACATTGATAGTTAGAAAAAAAGCAACAAGTTTAAAAAAACAAAGACAAGTTTCTTTACATCATCCTCATCATCAGAATCTAACTGTTCTTCTAGTTCTTCTTCATATTCTTTGTCACTTGTATCATCAGTTTCTAAATCAGTATCCTTCAGAGTTTGTTCATGTACCCTTTTAAGGATTTCAATCATTTTTTTCATATCTTCTGGATCGTTTTCGTATGATCCTAACTCCTCCTGTACACATTGCCTGTAGAAACTCTCTGAACATTCTAGATGAGTCTCTGATTTATAGCAATCAATATTGCAATATGCTATGCCACATCGTGGGCAAGTGTATGTTCTGGGACGAGTGTTGCATCTATAATCAAAAACAAAATATAATTAATAATCAAAATTACACGCCTGACCGTTGTTTGTAAACAGATTTTGAGGTTATTGACGCAATACGTACAATTTGCACAGATTATTTGTATTCATCGTGCTAGTTCCTGGACTGTCCATGTTTTTACTGAAAGTCTGTTTAGAGTTTTAAACAATCACGAAATATAAAACTATGTTTATGACCAAATAAACGTAGATATTGGGAATAAATGTGGCAGTGTCCGAAAGCAGAAGTTGGCGGTGCCTTGTAACGATAGCAATAGAAACTATTTCTGGACAAGTTTAGACATTTTGCCGTTGAGAACAAAGCTTTTATAAATAAATTAAGTTAACGAATAACATATTTTATATTAATAATATTACTTCGAAATATTTTTCGATCGTATATGCTTCAGGCGCTATCCAGCGTCGAAGACAACGAACTATTTCTCGACAAACTTGGACGTTTTGCCGTAGATGGCAGTGCAATCGTCCGTATTATAGAGCATTATTTTTTTTTTTAAATAAGGTTTAGATAAATAAAAATAAGTTGGGGGTGTCTTGTAACGACGGCAATAAAAACTCAGACAATGTACAAATGAAATACTAGGCTTTGAATGTTCGAGTTTCATATATAAAATCATTTATTTATATATTTGTTACAAAACAGCCTTTCAATTAACAGTATAACTTAAGTTTAATTTAAGTATCTTCTACCAAAGTTCCATTTTTTAGTTTTTTATATTTAAATTCAGGTTCCTTTCGCTTGCTCTTCCAAGCTTTAGTATCTGTCTTTGATAAAATCCATTTGGGATCTACAGCAACTTCCTTACATTTTACTAAATTCTTTTTATCATCTATTGTTGCTGGAATTTTTCTCTTTTTTTGTGGTTTCTCAACTTCTTCCTTTTCTGTTAGAAATTCCACTGAAGAGCTAAGCAGCTTTATACCAATACTGTTGTCTGTGCTTTCTTTGTCATCTGTAGAAGAAGTACTTTTCTTCTTTTTGTCCTTTAATTTAATAGATCTGAGAAAATCGTATTATTACATAAAACATCAACTTTAACACTGAGATAATGTTATCTCCAATTTATATACTTCTCTATTACTTCATCCAGTTTTCTCGCTACATAATTCTGAAATGATGGACTTGCTCCAAAGTTTTCAAAGTGATCTTCCTGATCCAAGTTTTTCCTTAATGATTTGATACTTGTTGAATTTTCAATGCGTACTGAAAAAGAAGAGTACATAAAATGGACGGTTCGTTGTTTTTTAATTATTCAAAAGTTGTATACAAACTTGAGGAAACCAAACGAAAGTGAGGTTATGATACTTACTGTCCTCGTTGGTCTTTTCAGAGATTTTTGTATTTTCAGATTTTGTCGTAGACAAATAAGTATTTTTGAAAAAGTGATGATCCGTCGCTTCCCTTAATGCATCCTTTGATACTTCATCTTCCGAACTCGTTGAATCTTCATTGTTTACGTTTAACATCGTTATATCGTATCGCGAACGATACGAGTACTAGCGAGTCAGCAATCGATAATCGAATTTAAATTTTTTTCAAAAACGCGTCTCTAACAAATTTTCGATAATGTTTTCATCAACAATTGTATCATAATTTGCAATGTATCAGGTATTCAATATACTAAAGTATAGAGACGAGTGTAAAAATTAATTTAAATTTAATTAACTCATTGCCGAAATTTGTTTATTAGTTAATAGTTATAAATTTTGTACAGAATGTGAGTATTTGAAATGTGTGTAAAGATGTTCATATATTGTACAATTATTTATTAGCAATAAATTTTGATAATAATTAAAAACACAAGAGTATTTTATCAAAAATGACATTGGAGGGGCTGATATAGAAGTTTCCTTCAATGTTAAAAGTATACACAAATAAATTGAACGACTATGTTTCGATCTAAATTCCAAGCCAACAGAAACAGAATAAATATTAGCGTTCTCTTCTTTCTCGAATTCGAAATGAGAATGTAGACATCGAACAGCAGGATAAGAAACAGAGTGTAAAAAAATCATAACAAAGAGATGATAAAGAGTCCTTTGATATAATAATTATAAATGAACAAAATATAGATTCATACATACAGACCATCGCAAGAGTATTAGCGATCTTAAATTTTTAGTTGTATCCCGTACAGTGTTATAATCAGATTTCATTCATAAATTCATTTTTGATCGAATGCTGTTTGCATTGCTGTAAGATGTGCTTGATACCACACATATAAAAACCAACGATCGAGTCTTTGTTTTTTTTTTTTTTTTTGTAACCGAACGGTCGTTGTCGAAAGGAAGTGCAAAATATAAAGATGAAGATGACGATATGAAGAAGAGAATGAGTATGGAGTACTTGGAAGTGTGTCTTAAACATAAACAATGATATATTTTAAAATATTATAATTATTCTCTGTCCGAGAAGAAAACACTTCGACTAAATTATGTCAACGTGTTAACGATAGATTAACAAGAATTACAGGCGCAAATTATTTCAATCGTTTCTGACCTATTCGATGCTGGCTCGAAAGGAACAATAGTAGAGACGTGTGGTCTAGAAACTAAATGGACGGGCGAAGTTGAATATTGCCAACGATGTTTATGTACACGATAATGATCGTTCTCTCGTCCCCTAATAATTTCAATTCTTAATCTAAATACATTTAATAATATATTCTCACTTTGCATCATCGTCTCTTACTTTTTTTTCCTTTTATTTTAGTGCGCTTCTGAGAGGTTTCATGTACACTGTTTCATATTTTCTTTTTTGTTTTAATTAATCATTATAACCACTTGCTGCTTGCTTTTTAAACAATGCGTTTAAATGTATAAAATATACATGGAGCAAAGTTCGCGGGTACATTTTATACAGATATACGGTATTTAAACATAAGGGTATATGTGTATGTATATCTTTCATTTTTTTCCATCGCTACTAATGTATCTTTGATGTATGCATTGGCTTTTGGCTCGTTTTCGTCAATATTTTCATTTTGTTTTGTATATGACATTGCGTGTACTTATTATACTTATTATATTTACCGTTCCGCGTCACGTACCACAATGTACAGTAATGTATTTTTTTTTTTTTCTGCTAAGGCATTTGTTATGGCAAGTATATTTTAAAAGTGCTGATGTCTAAACGCGCGTGAATACTTATTTTGTTTTTTTCCATTTTTGTACAGTTTATAAAAGTATATTGGCCAGTTATGTAACTTCTAATTAGCCAGCTACGTGTCAAATCACTTAAAAAATGATTCGCTCGTTAGAAAAAGAACTAATCCGCAAACGTTTTTGTTCTCTTTTTTCACGTTTAAATTCAATTTGGCGCCGTATAATCCGCGGCCACTAAATCTGTTTACTCTCTATTTTGCATGCAACTTTTTACTTATGCTCATTATTCGGTTATCTGTTTTTTTTTTTTCTTTTTTTTTTTTTACGCTTTTATACCGTTTAATAAAATATATTTAACCGCAGGCTAGAGAACCGGAAACAAGAAGAAGTATACGTATGTGTCTCAAGAAGTATGTATTCCATTGTTTGGATTCTGTCGTTATTTCCTTTTTTTTTTTTTTTCGCCGTTTTTTATTTCTCGTTTTCTTTTGTTCAAGTGGGGCGCCCGACTTTTTTTGCAATTGATTGATGACCGTTACGAAAAAATTGTCCACATTGTGTTTTCGTTCTTTCCGCGTTTGTATAATCCCGACGTAACGAATGGAGAACTTTCATTGCGACTTAGTTTACACCGTGCCCGTTCTCGATACGCGGGCTAAAGTGGCGGCGCTCCAGGCGTTCGATTCGATTCGATTCGATTCGCGTTCGAGTGTATCGAGTTTATAAAATGTACGAACGAGATGCAAACAAAGTAACCGTGCGACTTATATTTTATTTTAATTTGTTCAAACTATATATATATATATATATATACCATGAGTTTCATTTGTGAAACGTAATTATCAACTTGATACACTCTATTTACACCACAATTTCGTTACGATAGTCGGAGTGGTCGGTACGCGCGCGTATCAAACGCTCGGTGTAAACTAGCTCTGTGTGTGTATATCGAGTTGCAGATGGCGGTAGTTTCGATTAAACCCCTCGTCTGAACTAACGTTCCGACTTATTATGAATTATTATTTTGCTCGAGCCACGAGCTGGCCTAAACGAAGTGCATCTTTGTACACACGCGCGCATATACACTTACATGTACGTGAATACACGTGTATGTTTTTTTTTTTCTTTCTTTTTTTTTGTTTTTGCAACGGCTATCGCCCAAGCGCGTTGGAATCACTCTGCGAACAATAGTGTAGCGCTTAACAAAGATCGGTGTCGGTAAAATAATTCGAATAACTCTCTAGCCACTATCTTTCGATCGCCGGTCGACGATGCTAATGTTAGTTTTATACCTACAGAATAATAGTCTAGTTCTTATTACGTTACTTCGATACAATGTAACTTCGCTAAAAGCTCGTCTGAACGTGTAATATCGAATTGTCGATTGCTTGTCGCGATTGAGAGGCGAACCGAGGATTGCAATACTGAAAGAAACCATTTTGCCCCGCGACTAGAGAGTCGTTTACGTAGTCTCGCGTACAGAGCTTCCTGGGAGTTATCGATCGAAAATTGTTCATCGCGTTGGAACCGAAAAATCTCGCCGTCGGAACGAATTTGGTTGCGGGATCGCAGAAAATTCGTTCTGACGTTGTCCGCCAGTAGTGCAGTACCACACCACTGAAAACATTACCGCACAACGGATTTACAATTAAAACGAAAGTACATCGTAATCGTAATCGCAATCGTCGCTTTTCATCGAACGCTTTTGCACGCTGTTTCGTTTATTATCCTCTTCCTCGTTTCTTTCTTTTTTTTTTATGAAATTTTTGTTCTTTTCAACGATAACTCGACTATTCTTCCCAGAGCGATAAGAATACTCGATCGATGGTTTAACCTCTGCACACTCGATCGGCGGCCATTTTGAACCGTACGCGAACGAAATTAACCGCGGGAAACGAAAGCGCGCGCGCGCGCCCACTGAGTGCGAAAAGTTAAACACCGATGTAGAACTCAATAATTGAACGATAGTTATAATTGCTTCACTTCATTTTTTTTTTTCTTTTTTTTTTATCTGGTTCATTATTCGCAATTTACAATTATACTGCGTCTCGAAACAAGCATCTATGAGTTATTTTTTTTTTTTTTGTTGCTTCATTTATTTAATTTCCGCTACTAATGCTTGCTTGGGGGCTGCCCTCTCGGTTTTACATCGAATAACAGATTCACCGCTCTTTAAACATTGGTAACAAACTTAGCCAACGATATCTAATAGAAAAACGTCAAGAGATTCGTACCAGCGCTTGTGTTAGCATACATACAGATTCATACGATAAGCGCGATTGCGACAGATACACGCTTATGGTGTGAATTTTGTAGAAAACTCTTTCGTAGAAAATTGACGCTAGGGTAATGTTATTTTCTCTCTCTCTCTCTCTCTCTTTCTCGCTCTCTTTCGCTCTCTCTCTCTCGCTCTCTTATTATTTTTTTTTTTGTCCTTTTTTTAATCTGTTTCTTTACAAGGCGTTTACTATGCAGGTTTCTCGCATGACGAAGATGACTTCTACGTGGTGCCACACTACTGGATCTTCCCGTTAACGGATAAATTCGACATTTTTATACCTTTTTTTTTTTTCTTTTTTACATTAAAAATTAAAAACGTTCCGCTAGAAAACAGTAGTCAGGAGTTTCTACGGTTCAAGATGACGGGAAAGTAGTCGCGGATGAACGGTTTCGCTGATCCCCTGCCCCAAAAAACCCCCTACCAGAGTTACCTGTATGAGATCTACAAGGCAATCGAGGTGTACGTTTTCTGTGTCAACGACCCATTTTAATATCTTCGATTTCGTTGTTTCAATCACTTGGCGGCCCTTAAACGAGTACTACGTGTCGGTAAATCATATTCAATCCCGTTCCGGATCACAGAGCATAGGTCTACTTAGGATCTAGGAGTCGCTGATGCTAAACCAGTCTTGTGTCACCCTGTAGAGATCACCGAGAAACGCTCGTCAGTGTACTGTCTAACGAAGCTTAGCGTTCTACTTGACATTGGACAGTCGCATGTTTCGTTTATCAATCGTTTTTTATCGCGTTTGATCCATTGAAACCGGAAACGGAGGTTAGGTCTACGCTGGTGTCCTCAGCTAATGTTCAGCTCGACTATGCTCGATTATTTAGTTTCTTTTTTTTTTTTCAGTTTTCCTGGGAGAATTTCTTGAAACTCGGAAACCAATGACGTCGAGAATGGGAATTTCGAGAATAACGTGAATTGCGAGATTTAGGGCTGAGAGGTGGGGGGAGGGGAGGGGAGGTAGGGTTAGGTATTAGGTATTAGGTCTTAGGTTGTAGGTCTCCTGCGAGCGAAGGAAGTTTGCCTGGCGATGGGCGTTCTACAATTGCATCTCCTCGAAAAATATTATTTAAAGCCAAAAGCGTATCTAGTTGAAAATTAAAAATTATTCTACGAGTAACTTGAAGCAATCCATCACTTTAAAAAATAACAAATATCCTCCTTTCCGTCTAAACGGTTTCAAATAATATTTCGAGGAGTGTTCGCGCCCATCGCCCGGGGTCCTACCTAGATCGTTGCACAGCTAAATTTCACGCTGCAAACGTGTCCATAGTCGCTCAAAACGAAACATCTGATATGTAAGATCCGAGATACACATTCATGGCGCTACAGTCTTTTGTGTTATACGTGTTCTTATTTATTTTTTTTTTTCTTTTTACGTGGCTCTAAGACAATTCTAGGCGTTTGTGTGTTCCAGCTGCAACCGCGAACTGACGATCTCGCAATTCATCATCAACGAGATTGCACGGAGAAAGAAATATGTATATATATATATACACATATATATATATATATATATGTACAGTGTAACGCGTTTATGCCGTGTTTAATTGAACTCTTTTTGTCATCCCTTGGATTCGTCCCGTAATTCGCTGTTACAAATATACGTACCATTTCCGATTTCCGGACCCCTGATCGTGTATCGTCCCCGTTTCTGCTAAGCCGCGAAACCTAATCCTCAATTGATACAAAAACTATCTCGCCTTTGTATGTGTTTTTTCTGTTTTTTTTTTCACTTTTTTCTTTTTGTATTGTATTTTCCTTAATTACGTCTCACTCTTGTCGCTTAGCGTTAACGTCTGGAATAGCCGCGCGCGCGCGATTTTTAAACACTGTTTTTTTTAGCTTCTTTTACTTTTTGTTTCGATATAATCCTAATGTTCCATTTTCGCGTGTTTCCCCCCCTGTGTCCCCCGTCGGGAACGCCGTGCTCTGCCCGGCGACATATGTACACACTAGGTATATGTACATACAGGTTACAATGCGCAATATTTAACGGCTAGCACGCCCCTTTCGATCGTCAACGTTAGCAGACAGTGGTTAAATAGTCGTCTATTGGTTAGCAGTGATAGTGAAGAGTACAACTTCGTTTCGTTTCTTTCGTTTTCATTACTCCCCCCCTCCCCCTCGCCCGTTACGAATAATCGCCGTCGTTCGGTACCGTATCCCCGTTTCTCGTCTCCCGAAGTAGTAACAATAATCTATTTCTTGTCTGGGTTCTTTTATTTTTTTTTTTTTCTTTTACTTCTTTTTTTTCTTCTTTGTTATTAGTCACGCGTACACCTTAGGCCCGAAACCTCGCTGGCAGATTAGTCCTAGACCGGTTGTTATGTGTATAGATTAATCTATAAAAACGTCGGTCATTGCGGTCTACGAGTATTCTACCATTATCTCTGGTGATGCTTTATTCGACCCACAGTACGCAATCATCCTCTCGTCGCTATTACAATATTATCATTTATTTAGTATTATATAGTTAGGATGACGTGAGGAGATGTAAAATAATGACAGAAAACTCTCTCTCTCTCTCGCTCTCTCTCTCTCTCTCTCTCTCTCTCTCTCTCTTTCTTTCTCTCTTACATGAAAAATAGGTACTTCTGTTTTCCTCGCATGTGTGTAGGTGTATGTTTACATATGTATATGTATGAAACGCATGTATAATATTCCTATTCTCTTACATGGGTATTTTTTTTTTTATATATATATATATATATATGTATATATGTATATATGTATATATGTACATGTATGCATAATCACATATGCACAAAGGTGTACACGTTCAACTAGGAAACGAATGGCACGTTTCTTTCACCCGCCATATATGTCAGTGAAAAGTGTCAGAGTGTACGTCAAAGTAACAAGCAACACTGCTATTAAATTAGACTCTTATAGCAATTGTTTTGAAGAAGAGTATTATTGTTAACAGACGCGACCTACGCTCTGCCGAGTTAACGCTTGGAACAGTGGCTCTTGAATTTTCAAACAAAATGGAGCACGAAACGTTTCTAGGAACGTTCGTTTCCTTTTACGAGCGAACAAGAGCGAGGCTCCATGTCTTTTTTTTTTATTAAAATAGGAAGTTACGGAACTCCATTTACGAAGCAAAAGGTAGATCGCTTAGAAATGTTCGTGAAACACGTTCCTGTGGGATTTAAAACTGACTGAAATTCAAGAGCCACTGATCCAGAGAATATCCCCTCAGAACCGGGTTTCCCCCTTTCGTCGTGAGTATAGAAATATCAGAAAATTCAACAGCCGTCGTAAACTTTCAAAGACACAAATAATATCACCGCTAAAATATACACCAACAGCTACGAAAATGATACAGTAACGCTAGGTGAATGGAATCGTTTTGGTCAATTGACTTCGAATTGTTCATTAATTGCCGCGAAAGCGTCGTGTCGACGTGAACTCATTAGAAGAAGCTCTGGGAATCGTCGCGCGAAACTGTCCACAAGTATTGGCGTTTTTGTCGGCGTTTAACCCTTTTTTTTTTTTTTCTCGCGTTACGGTTAAAACGTTACATAATATCTTGCACCAGTGTATTGACCACTATTACGCGCAGCGTATCTGTTTTTGCCATTTACGTCTTAACAACTGCCTAGTTTATGCGGTAGTGGATGTAATAATCATTGCAATGATAATCGTAACAATAATAATAATTTATTACATAATATTTATACCTTTTGTTGTTGTTGTTTGTTTGTTTTTTTTTTTCTCTTTATAGTACATCGCGTCACTTCGCCTGAATAAAAAGGTACTTCCCCTCGCGTTCCACTTAATAGTTTTCATTCATTGACGTTTTAGTCGTGGCAGCCCAAAGGACTCTCAACAAGTTAACACGGTCTTTGGGCTTTTATAATATTATTTTCTTTTTTTTTTTTTTCTCGTAGAACGACTTCGATCATCCCCCCTAAATTAGATTTTTTTTTTCGTACCTTTTACACCACCTGTTCCCGTGGCTTGGATCTCGTTCGCGTCTCAGGACGGTCTTCCTAAACTCCGGATTATTATAATAGAACTTGTATACACAGCTCGGCCTTACAGTGTTATATCACTACGCTTTTTTTCGAAGCGGCTCAAGAAGTATTAGAAAATAAAACTGGATCTATTTTATAACGAAGCGAGTTCCGAACGCAGGCTTCCCTCTGTTAATCACGAAATTAGGTTAGATTTCCCGCGGTGAAATGAGAAACTCTCCTCTTCTTGTGCGTTCCCTTATCCCCCTCCCCCACCCATTCCAGGGATCATTCTTCGCTGGTCCGATCGTCACTTCGGAGCCATTGCACGTTGGTTCGTTCGCCTCCATCTTGCCCCCCTCCCCCCCTGATCACTCGTACGGGAACTATTTACGATACGAAGCTAAATTTAAAACACGTTAACAAAATTAATAACTGGAATATTCTCGTCTTACGAGTACGTTCTTCTCTATGTTAGTTGTTTTAAATAAAAAACGAAACAAAAGTGAATCCTAATTGTTCGTATAGGTTATAATCGTTTCTCCATTTTCTTTTCCCCCCCTTCCCCCTTGTTCTCCTTCCGTTGTGGAGCGGGAAATGTCGACTTGCAAAACTAATTGTTCTTTTTTTTTTCTTTCCCCCTCTCCTTCACCGTAAAGTGCGAAACGTCGATTTGCAAAATCACAGAGAATTACGCATCATTACACTGTTGTTTTAGGATTTATACCTAGTCCACGACGGACTACACATACGCTCTATAAATTTTCTAGGCCTGCTCTTCGTCGTCGTTGAGATCTTCATCTGCTGTCGCGTCTTTCCTTTTGTCGACACTTCGATGAAGAGTCTCGTAGAAATGAAACGGCTCCGTGCCCTCCAATCGGCGACACAGCGTTCGATTCTCGCTCAAAAACTAAAAAAATGTCCCTACAGTTTTCTCCAAACGTTGATTGTTGCACACCCTGCACCGAGAAAGTCACCACGCGTTTAGCCTATCCTCCATCCGAGTATCGGTTCGCTATTTATTGCTGTTCGAGTTCGAATCTTTCACTATGAAATAATAGGTGTCCGAATGAGCCCCCTGGTGCTGTGTCACCATTGGAGGATGGGACACGTCGGTACACGCGGTTTTACGCGCAGATTCTGGACAAACGTTGCCATCAGGTTAATATAAGGCGCTAGAAACCGATCGCTACAGGACTACTGGCATGGCGTATATCTATGTATAGACTGCTTCTAGAGTAGCGTCCAGAATCCAGGCTTAAAACGGCCGCCAACGGTCCTACCGACAGCGGAGACCACTGTCACACATGGAGCCGTTAGTATCTCTCTGTATGCTAGTATAACGAGTGTCGTCATTGATACGAGTCCTTATGAAAAGTGTCGCTTTTGTGGAAGATCTTTCGTCCCTCCCTTGAGAGCTCCTGACTCGCGAAATTGTTCTCAGACTTCGGTCTGGGCAACAGGCAAGCTGGAAGAGCCCTCAGCTCCAAGCTGTGTACCTGGAAACACATTTTCCGTATATAAATAACCCTATGACACTTCCACGTTCGACCACACTTTCTGCTTTCACGAGTCAAGTGATTTTAGCGGGGTTGGCAAGCTTGGGAAGGACTGTCATGGCGGACATTTAATCACTTCTCAGCAATTGATTATTTTTAACAGAGAAGTTCTAAATAAGGTGCAGCTGATTATTATTGATGTTACAAAATGTATTTAGTGGGGTTGGCAAGCTTGGGAAGGACTGTCATGGCGGACATTTAGTCACTTCTCAGCAATTGATTATTTTTAACAGAGAAGTTCTAAATAAAGTGTAGCTGATTATTATTGATGTTACAAAATGTATTTAGTGGGGTTGGCAAGCTTGGGAAGGACTGTCATGGCGGACATTTAGTCACTTCTCAGCAATTGATTATTTTTAACAGAGAAGTTCTAAATAAGGTGTAGCTGATTATTATCGATGTTATAAAATGTATTTACCGATTCTTCACTGGCGCTAGCGTGCGCAGCTTGCTCCGCGAGCGCGTTCACCACTGCGTTTATCGTTTTCGACTCGCTGCCAAGATCCTCCTCGCGATGAGCCACCAGGTTCGGGTTCTTCCCGATTTTGTTCAACCTAAAATGAGAGCACAATTAAGCGTAGGGAATGTTGCATGAAACACAACCAACGATTATTCACATCGATCGACTTACAAACCGTTTAGCAGTACAGGTTTTTCCTAACCAAACTTTTTTACTCCGTCCGCGACTTGCAAACAGATTAGTATTATTTGTTCTAATACCACTTGCACCGCTAAAGGTTTTACAATGTGAGGTACAAGATTGGGTAAAAGAAAGTTAGTAGCTTTGATATGCAGCCTGCAGAATCACGTTTCGATCCCAAGTATCTGCAGTGTAAGTCTTCCAAGGACACGATACAATTCATATTCGATTCTCGATTTAAGCTGAATTACAATTCATGTAGAAACTTCAAAATGACGTACGTTTACACGGGTTATAAACGCTAATATCACATACTTCTACTTAACCCTTTCTTTTTCAATGAGTCTGTATGGCATTACTAATTTTTAGTCTTTTAATTTTAGATATAAATCTCAAAACAATTTAATTATGACATTAATGTCCATTAATTAGTAGCCATTCCAAGTCTGACTAGAATGTCTGACCCAATATGGCTCAGAACTCCTTCCAAGATTATCTCTTTCTCCCTAGATACACTCTTCTGCTACTTATTGATACTTATCACGTTTTATTTTAGAATACTCCAACAATTTCTGTTGGAGAACTATCCCTGAAAGATGATTTTTACCGTACCTTCTTTCCTACCCGTAAGATGCAAACTCAAACTTAAAAAACATCCATGTTGTGTCTCACCACATGCAGTTTGAGTTTCCCCATGTACTTTTATTTATATTTGGTTCTGTGCATTAATTTTGCATGTTATAATTCCTGTTTTCTACTAGCTTACGATCGTATTCTTCAAGTTATTTTTAACTCAAGGTGTGATTTCGTAGTCTTGTTTTGAAGCGGATCACAAGCGGACAAAAGATAGTTGTCCTTACTATTAGCGCCTCCAGCGGATAAAAAATGAAACTATACCTACCCCAGGGGATTCACCGTAGTTGTTACATTGTTTCTCCGGCCAGTGGTTTTAGAGCAACGTGGATAACTATTGTTTTTTATCAGTACGTTGATCGAATGTTCAAATAAAGTACACACTGTGTCAAATTATGCGATTAGTAGATACATTTCAGCAAACGAAAAAGAAAAACTGCAATATTTGATTGTTAAGGTGCCGTGTAAACGTAGTTCGTTCAAAAAACGGTGGCTCCGACGAAGCAACCAAGAAATGTGATTCTGCGAAGGTGCAGCAAAACTTAGAATCCAACTGATTTATAAAGAATGTTATGCAAAATTATGAATACAACATTACTATGTAGTGAATGTGTCGAGAGTGTAAAAAATATTTTGTCGCGATGTCTCATGGTTTCTTAATCAATTAATATCTTTGTAACGCAGATCGTTCGGCCGCGTCGTCGAACAAAAAATTTCGCAACCGAGAAAATATTTTGTCGGAACCCTCTCAACTCATTTCGAACGCGTATCCGGCAGATACAGCGTCCATTGGTCGTTCCAAAGTTAGTGCGCTTTCGTTGTAAAACTTTCTCCCCCAAAAAACAGATTCTGCACTGTCACCGTTTCGATCGAAAAGAGACAAAAATTTCGTTCCTTTTTTTTTGTGTTTTTTTTCACACCGCTGAGTGTCGAGACCAAAAAAGTTTCAATTCTTGTGTTGTGTAAAGTGTATGTAAAACAAGCACATCGAGTCCAAACCAGCGTAATACAGAGAAATTATATTTGATAACATGTTAAAGAGAAGCGACATGATGTTTGGACAACGAGTAAAATGACTGATTTCGATTTGTCGGACAGTACACAATGTTCAACAAAATCAACATGGAGGTGGGAGTGATGATTGACATCTAGTAGCACACCAACTCGATAGAACAAACCTAACCAAAGCTTATACCTCTCGGCGGCAACGCTTTCCATCGTTCTGCGCATTAGCGGATACTGGTCCAACACGGCGTTGAAGTGATCCACCGAGAGGCTGAAGAGATTGCAGTAGGTCTCTGCGCGGACTGACGCCACTCTCCTCGCGTTCGTCAGCAGGCAAATCTCGCCAAAGTATGAACCGTCCGACAGCGAGGTCGCGACTTCGCCGTTCGCCATTACGATATCGACTATGCCTTCTTGTATGAAGTACATTTTCGAGCCGATTGTACCTTCCTTGATGATGATATCACCTGCAACGCGCAATTGCTTCTGATATCACGTCATCGGGACGCAAGAAACACCGGGGCAACACGATACAACTCGTTCGAGAGCAAATGGTCGTCGGGGGGGGGGGGGGCATACGTGTAACGTAACGTTGATATTCCATATTTGCGAGACTACTAGAACGTTCAGAAAGTTCCATGTTGCCTCAATTTAGCTTGTTTCAGAGACTGTTAGGCAGCTCTAATTGTTCATCAGGACTTCTTAACGAGATGTAATTGAAAATTACGTTTTCAAACTGGTAACATCCTCTCACACGGCTTAAGCTAAACCTTAAAGAAGACTAAAGCTTGCACTAAACGGCTTAGACTAAACTTATGAATCTAGGAATCGGTACCTGGCTGGAAGACTTCGTATCTCAGTTTAGTGACGACGTCCGAGACAAAGTTCGAATCGGCGTTGGCAAAGAAGGGTACAGACGCGACCAGCGATCTGCAGTTGTAGTTGATCACATCCTGTAACGAAAGAACGGGTTAAGAAAGCGGAGAAACGTCGCGTCTGGTGGATCAGGGTCTGCTGTTAGGGCGTACTTCTCTTAGTTTCTCCGAGAGCTCTCCAAGAATCAACTCCTCGTCGAAGAATTTGCCCTGGTAGCGGTGCTCGAAGTACTCCGTGATCCTCTGTCTCATTTCTCGTGGTAACTTTCGGTAGGCCATGTACTCCTCTACTTGTTTCACCTGGGTTTACCAAAAACGGTTAATCGATGCTTCCTGTTCGACGTTCAGATTTACAGCAAGGATACTTTTGAGGACATTTTGCTTTGCTTAGGGGCATAGTTCGTTTGCATGATAAGAATAGCTCAGTACCTAAACCTTCTGTGAACCTGTGGCCATATTGAATGGAACTATACCGCTTCAGACTTAATTTCATGAATTATTAACAGTGGTAACAGTTTATTATACTGTTTATGACATGTTGTAGTATATTAGTAAAATAGTTGTTGTCTCTATTACTAGCGCCGCCATTGGAGAAAGTATGCTTCACCATTTCTCCACTAATGGCGCTACTAAACTTAATTCCAACTCCGAGCGAAATACTGACAGTGTCTACAAGAGTACTATATAAGATGTTCAATATTTACTCAATACAAAAGATCGAGCAAACGTATAATAATGCGGCTGACTTTTATGCTTGCAGAGATTCATTTAAATATTTTAAAGAGCCATGAATTAAAAGGGGGAGTTATAACAGAGCCACTGCTGGGAATCCAAGACTTCAAAGGACCGGAGCTTGAACTGAACGAGGAAGATGGACACAAAGAGGAAAGCCGAGGTTCCTTCGCTGGCGGTGTTTGCTTCTTGAATGTTAACTACCTTCTCGCGGTATTGTCTTCTCGAGGAATCGAGAGATTGGATGAGATTCGTCGCGTGTCCAAGGAAAAGTGCGTAACAGGTAGCACCGCTGATCATGCTGAGCATCGTGAGCCACATGTCGGTCAAGGACTGCGGTGGAAACCTTCCGTATCCTATGCAGAGCATGTGCGACATGGCCTTGAAAAGGGCCCATGAATATTGTTCCAGCCAAAATGAGTCCTGGAAAACAACGGTAGTTCTCTGCTAAATCGATTAACTTCGTGAGCTAGTGTAAGAATCAACGATTCAATTAGCCAGTTAGCAACAGTGAAAAGAGTCGCAAGAGACAAGAAAGGGACCTTGGAATCTTTTCGTTCTTTGTTCTTTAGCAGCAAAGAAAGGAAACGGTAATCAAGGAAAGAAGGCACAAAATGGCGGGGAAAACTTATTATCTTCTCTTTCATTACTCAGAAGACAGTGTCTGGAATAAGTTACGAGCTAGATCTAGAAGGGTAGATTGTTTCTTATTATTTAATGCAGTATGGTCAAAGTCGGTTGACTTTCAAGGTGTAAGTTCGATCTGAAAGCCAGGGACCCTTACACCTGGAAGCATCGACCGAATAATGAAGAAGAGTGGCAAGAAGTGGTGTCATAGAAGCGATATACTTACTTGCAACTCGTTAATGGCGACCCACGAGTTACTAGGAAACCCTTGGAGCATAGGAACCAGGAATTGCAGACAGCCACTCCAGTGGCCGATTAGGAGCATCATGCAAATCAGGTTAAAAATCCGCATGAACACCGATGCCATATTCAGGAACTGCCAACAACAACGACACAGGTTTATTCTCGCGTCGATCCCGGTAGCCAAGATGTTGTTCACACTTCAGTTAAAAACTTCTCTCGTTATCCAAAGCTCCGGTTGCGTAGTGTACAGCAAATAAGCGAGTGTTGTACAAAAACGCGTCAAATATTAATTCACTGAATACATTGTCAAAACTATCTTAGTAATTGTTATCCAAAGTCTGAATCAAGGACCAAGTAAACTACCTGACGTTCGAGCGTTCAGACCTGAACGGGGCACATCTTTGACGATGTTAGCAACGATCAGAGAATCCTTTTTATCCGGACGAAGATAGGTCATCGCGTTCTACTTGTTCAGACGTTAACATTCAATTGTACTATCGGTTCGAGACTATCTTCTTGGTCCAGACGAAAGGTGCGTTGATTCTATTCACGCGATAAAATTGTTTCTTCGTCTTGGGCTCTGTTAGTATGCAAAGATGGCGCCCTCAGGTTTGAACGCGAACGATTTTAGTGTAATCTCTCTCCTAAGTAGTCTTCGCTGTTCATACTTCCGGGTTTCAGTTTTCAGTCCAAAAAAAGCATGCTACATTAGAAAATACGCATCACGTGGCACACAAAAGAACAAGTCAATGTAACCTAAAAAACGTTTATAATAATGATTACTCTACGAATGCTCTAAACAGAAGAAACAAAAATAATAAATGTATACAATATATGTATATACGTATATATATTATATATATATATGTATATATATATGTATGTATGTATGTATGTATCAATTTGCACTGCTTGGCCAAGATTCGCAGACCCGCTTATAGGCTGGACCTGTTCAGAACGATTCCTGCGTCCGAATTTTCGGCAAACGCGACGCGTCCAATGATTGCAATCCGATCGATTGCAACGCGATATTGCAAACTGTTCGGCTGAACAGTGCGCCATAAGCACGATTTGGGAATCCAAGTCCTTCACTAAGAAAAGAAGCTGGAGAACGCAGAAGCTACATTGACGAGAACGAGCCATCACTCACGATCGTGACAGACGGATCACTACATTTCAATAATGTCTTCATTTTCACTGCGTCGCAGTACTGTTCATAATTACACGAATTATCGTTAATTTCCATTCTTCGCGCTTGATTGGCTCGACCAGTTTTTTTTTCAACGCCTAGTAATTCTGTTACAGCAGTGTATGTTAATTCAGACGCCTACGCAGAGTCTTGAATTTTTATCGTTTTGATGTATTGTTACGCAATAGACAATCGTGACTTTTTCTCCGAGGAACTGGATCATTACTTGGATCACAGTCAAGTGGCAATTCAAAGCCAAGAACAAAGTTTTTTCGAAGAGTTTAACGAACGTTTATTCAAATAGAAATTATTACGATGCCCAATTTTGCTTAGTCTCGGCGCCATGACAGTTTTTTCCGCGTTGGGTTGGGAAAACAATATGGTGGCGATAACCTCTTAGCGGTCTTAAGTCACCAATTGATTGTGGTCAACTATAGTAGAATATAGAGGTATTCAGATAATTATAAACAGTACTGTATATATTAATGATATTTCCATTCAACTGATCGTTGTAATTCCAAGAGATAATGCTGCATCCGTTAGTTTCACACTGATTCTCGATGTTCAACCTCCGTTCGAATAAACGAGAAAAAAAGGATCGCTTTAAAACGCTGGTTTCGAATTTCAAAAAGCATCGCGATTGATCGCGACGGGCGTTCTTTGATGAACTGGAAAAGAAAAAACTGTCGATTGAATCTGAAAGCGTAATTAATTTTTCAAAGCCTCCTCGAGTGGGTTTTTGTCTGCAACAGGTTTCGAGCTGATTCGCGATTTCCATACTCGTTTGAATAAAAACGAAACATATTCGAACGTTAGATACCGAACTAAAAAAAAGCCTTTTTGAGATCGAACAAAAATTGGGGGAAAAATTTTAAATAATAATTTATCGTTAAAGTGTTCTCTAAATAGCTTCTACCATCGCTCGACCCGAAGCTCTATTTTCATTCGTGCAGTTCGAAATGAGAACAAAAGAGAAAAAAATCATTTTCCAATGATATTAAAATTTTTTAAAGCCTCGACAGGTACGGGTTTGCCTTTCGCGGAAACGTTCGTTCGTTTCCTGGTACGTAAACTAGTTGCTGGTAGAGCCAATTAAACATGTCAACGAGAGATTTATCGGGATCGATTAGACGGCTGATTATAAATTCATTATCGCCGTGTGGAATAAAACGTTCGCCAGTCCAGACGTAAAAACTCCCTTTCTTCCGGTTTCGAGGCGCGAATGACGTCGAAATTTCGACTCGGGAGTATCGTTTATCGAATTATTCATGCAATTCGACCGTACTGGATCTCTTCGTTGCGCGTGATTTGAATTTCAGAAACGCGAAGTCATATCCGGCACGTTTATGCTCCAGCGTACTGGAATCGAAGCGCTTTGAAAATTATTTACGACTTCTGAATCGACTATATCAAACAACGCGTATCTATTTTCATTCCCCAGCTATTTTGCAGCATAAAAAATTATTCGCCGCGTACATAACCTGTAAATCGACGTTGGGTTTGATTAACCTCGTCTCGATATTGAATTTCATTATTAATATACTGAATGGGATTAACATAGACTTCTTTGTCGATTGCAACAGCAGTGCAGGTAAATTTCTTAACTGTATATATTGGCGGCCATATTGCTTGGGTGGCCATATTGGTATTTTAAGTGGCGTGCAATTGTAAGAAGGTAAAGTCACACTTTGAACATGGGTGTACAATTGATATAATATCCATTTGTAAGCCAAAACGAAGTCAAAATTAATCCCATACAAATAAAGAAAATAATACAACGATCATAGGTAGTAATTTCTGCTTGAACACATCCAAAGAAAGAACAGCCTGGCAATTGGCTCGCTCTCTCGGATCGGAATCTCGTCAAGGGTGCTCTCTGCGCTCTCCAATCGATCCAAGGGCTAGAGTCTAAGGATCGGTTGTCAGGGGGTTTCGATGGTATGTGCGTATCGTGGTTATGTACAGCACACGTTTCTCGCGGGGGCGCGCGTTTCCGTTTCCGCTTTTTGGAAACGCGCGCCAAAGGAAGCCCGATCGCGGGAAACGATCTCTGACCCCGATTTTAATCCGCGGCCGATCTCGACAAGTTTTCCAATTTGAACCGCGGCCCGATACTCAGCCAAGGCCATCGACGCCATGCTGTTATCGTTCTTATTGTCGTTCCATTTCCGGGCTGGCGAAACATTACCGCAAACTTGGTCAATCGGTTTCGCGTCTCGGGATTCCACTGAGACGCGCCATCTGCTGGAGTCAAAATCAACCGGATCGCAAGGGGAACCACTGAAGACGCCATATTGGAACTTATAAAGAGCCGTACGCTCGCAATATGGCGCACTTGTTTGCTTACTGAACGCGACAGCATCGATCTTTTTATCGTGAATCTGTGAGAAATGTGGTGTAATATTGTACATGGTCTACATAAGATATTCTGTTTCTTCAAAACGTAGTCAAACTACGTTTAAATAGGAGCAGACGTACTACTATGTTCATTGTTACTGTATGGCTGTAATATTACAATACAAAAAGCTTATTATGTGGGCCACAAAAAACATTCTATTATTTGAAAATTGTAGATACGTCAAAACAAAGGTAAACGTAGTACTACGTTCATTTTTACGACGTTACTAATTTGTAAAAAAGATCGGAGATTCTAGTATTAAGGATTAAATAGACTTCTTATCATTATGGAAGGACGTAGTACTACGTAATGCACACGTACCATGTGTTTTGAACTACGCAATCGATGCTGCCACGTATCATACAATTGTTCCGTTCCATGAAGAACGTATTAGTACGTGATGGAAGCTCCAAAACCCGAATGACTCCAGAGACAGCGTCCCAATACGTTCAGAGATTCGTACAACGACACGTAACGCGTACCAAAACAGGACTCCGCGCGTTCACTGTCCGGTCCCCGATCGGCGTATTCGATAGCACGGCGCTATGACCCTCGGACGGGTCACGGACAGTGAACGTGTCGGCATAACGTTAACCAATTCTTGTTTTTCCGAATATCGGACGACCACGGTGCGTGTTTGTCACTCGTCTCGAAATCAAATGGCGACGATTCGGTCCAGCAGGGGGCGACGCATTCTCCCTGCAGCCCCAATTTTCTCAGTCGTTCGAGAATCGACGTACTTCGAGTGGTTCGAATGGTTCCGCGGCAAAGGGAATCGTCATTCGATTTCGATTTTGGGGGGGTGGAAGAAAAAGCACACATAAGTCCGTCTAACTACTAACGGCCGGTGGAATGATCGCGCGTGTCTCTATTATCGTGATGACCCATGGCTGATAAAGTCGATGTATTGTTTCTGCGCCTACTGGACAGTACGGGTTTGTAAACGGTGGGGGGGGGGGGGGTTTGGTGGTGGGGGGGGCGGGCGATGAAAACTTACTGCTAGACCACAACTAGTTCAATACATTACCTGGCATTAAGAACATAAATAATAATGTTTAAACGAAAAAAAAAACAGAACAAACTAACAAACATCGTCATGCGGTACACATACACGGGCGCGCACGCGCGCTACGTAGAGTTCGATGGTTACACACTGGTTGGTTGCGCGCGTATCAATGGCACGTGATTTCTGTCACGCATGGGAGCGCGCGCATAGTGGATATGCATACGCATGGTTTTGAATCATTCAGAAAAACAAAAGATTTAAAAAGAAAAAAAAGAGAAAAGAAAAACAAGGAAAGATAACGAGACAAACAAAGGAACGATATACATATACATATACATAGAAAACTGAACATCCAACCTTCTGTTCTACAAGAGACAGTCACAAGTCCATTTAAAGACGAAAGCTTTTGTTCGGTAACGATTCTTCACGGTAATAAATGAACAGCTAATGATCCAAAATGGTCGGTACGGGTAACGATATGGCGATACTTTTTTTTTTTTTTTACTATCAAATATCATACACGTGCGCGGTGTATGCATGTGTATACACGACGCTGGACGACGGGGCGCGCATACACGTACAGACACGCGCGCGCAGATGTGTGGCAACAGCGTTACTAAAAAAACAAGAAAAATCAACGGAAAATAATCACACAGAAACGAGAACAAATCGGGGAACAAAACCAAAAAGAAGAAAAAACAACGCAACGTGAACAAACAAGGAAACAAACAGAAAGAAACGAGGCATCGACACTGGTACCGAAAAGGAGCGATCGCCAATCTGGGGGCCGGGAACGTTCCCCCGACGTTCAAGCGACTAAAACGCGCGCAGGGGAGACGGAACGCAAAACAACGTTAAAACGAGACGGAACAAAGTTTGTAAAAAGATAAAAAAAAAAGAAAAAAAAAGAAAACGAAGAAGAACAAAACGACGCGGAACGAGAAAGGAAACACAGAGAATCGAAATGAAAAAAAAAAATAACAGGAGATGGGAAGAGACAGACAGAGAGAGAGATAGAGAGAGATAAGAGAGATATGGAGAGACAGAGAACGTAAAAGAACGCCAGCTGCCAAGTCAAACAATCATCAAGCGGCGAAAAAGCCAGGCTCTAAGCAACGAAGCAAGCCACCTCTTCCTCTCGCTGTATCGTTTATAGTCTTTTTTTTTTTTTTTTTTTTCTTTTTCCCTGCGCCTGCTTGCAGCCACACAGACAGCCAGCCAGTATCACAAAAGGGGTGCATTTTCTTGGCCGAGAAGCAACAGAGGCTCAAGGGGCGTGGAACAAGGAGGCGAGAGAGAGAGGGTGAAAGTCGTTCGCAGAGCAGCGGTAGGGGTAGCGAGCTCTCTACTCTCATACACTGCGCCCTAATTGTTATTCCGTTTCCTTTCTGGTTCGTTTCATTTCCGTTTTCGTTACTCATCTAGGAAAAGAACAGCGATGCGCCTCGTACAAACGGGTGGGGGGAGTCGGTGGGAACTGGGGATCCATTGGGCTGGAGGTCTCACGATGATGGTCGGCGATGGGCTCGACGGGCGTCAAACCGCCCCGAACACGTCAAACGGGACTATCCAATCGCTTTGAATGTCCGTCGAAGTTAAATGCGATAATTCGTAACCTACAGGGTCTAGGAGAAGTCAACACTCGTCTGGCTCTCATCCCCCTTTCACGAGGGAAGCAATCGTTTAGTGGGGTGTGCTGCTAGGGTCAACCTTTTTGGCAAATAGAGAAGAAAGAGGCTCTTTCAGGGGCTCCTCAGGTAATAGGAACAGGGATCTTTTAAAGACGTTGACCAGGTGACGTTTGTGGGTTCTGATAGTCTGCAAATTTGGGGGTCAAGATGTTTGAACCAGGTGGACTCCTCAAAGAACAGTTTCAATAATATTGATTGTGACTCTTAAGGGGCCATTTTGGGGTACCTAATAGTAGGAGGATCCATGGTTGCTAACATTAATAAATAGGGGATGTTAAACAGTATAGTTGGAATCCTCAACAAATAGTTTGAATACTGATCTGTCTTTTATGGAGCCACGTTTGAAGTCTGATTCTGAAACCAAAATGAAGAAAGTCCAATTTTAAGTGTACCCAGTAGTTGACACCTAACCTAAAATTTCAGTACTTAACCTCTCTTCGATTCGGTGATCTCTAAAGTGATCTCTTAAGTGAAATAAGTATGATTAAATATTGCCAAGGAAATCTTGATTAGCCCCATGGCTATTTTACTGCCTTCGTTTTGAGAACATCGCTGCCAGAAACCTAAGTGCCGCCAAGTGTCAACTACTGGAACACGGCCAAACGTCGGGTTCCTTTACCTCACCCCAGTGTTATTGACTTCCAAGCAAAGTCGCCATTTTAGTTCGCTGATTTCAATGGCAAAATTTCTGATCAGAGGACTCACAGTTTCGGTGGTGTTTCTTGGAACAAATTAGCCCTGAAAACAAAATGGAGGAACTCTCGGGCAGTCCGTCTTCCTCCCAAGTTTACCAAAAGGTTGAGACCCGCTAACCCAGACTGAAACATCCAAATCGATCCTCTTTTCCGAAGGACTCCGACGAGACTTTAGGTCCTAGACCCTTGGACAGGGACTCCGTGTGACATCCAAAGCAACTCGTAGCCCCGGGGGGGTTGGGAAAATGGCGGCTGGGTCGAGCAGCCATCGCCAACAGCGGCACAGTGTGCGATTTTGCAACAAAGCGACAGAGAAGGGACGCCCAATCAACGTGCGCTCGTTTCCAAAGGATCGTGCACACCGTCTAGCGATCAAAAAAGCGTTTCAAGAGACAGTGCGTGGACAAGTGGGCTTGGTACAGAGTGCGGGCCGCCTTGTTCTTCCGACTCGACGGTCCCAATGGGTTGCACAGGGCGGATGGGGACCGTTTACGGTCCCGGGGGACACTGTTGGGAAATTCAGGTTGAAAAGAAAAAATCCGCGGAAACGGAACAGAGAACTGGACAGACGGAAAATATAAAATACAGCAAATCAGGCAGAGTAACGTGAGAAACAGACGGAAAGAAAGTGAAAGAGGGGGGAGGGATTCCACGAGTAGACAGCGATTCTACGTGGGGGGACGTCTGTGATCTTGATCGCGATCGATTCTGTCGCGGGTTTTTTCTTTCATTTTTTTTTTTTTATTGGCTCGCGACGCACGGGGGCCGCGGTTATGGTCGTCGATTCCGACGAGTCGACATCGACAATGAAACGACGGATCCCGTCTATCGAAAGAACCGTGGTCTCCGGAGAGAATCAGCTCCGGAGGCTTGCTCGGTCATTTCAGTCACTGGACTTGGCGAACTCTTTTGCCTTTTTACTCTAACGTACGTTAACATGTCACACATAATATATATGTAATATATATATATATATAAACACAATTTGGTACTTTCTCATCGCTAGGCGGGTGCCGATGGTGAATGTATAGAAGCATAGCCTATTGCTGCGGGTAATATGTAATGTATAATGCGGCGGATAGTAGAAGCGAATGTTTGTAATAAACCAACGAGCCAATCAGCGTACAGCTCCTGCGTCCAGCGTCCTCGTGATCGCCGTGCCTGTTTTCTGAGACGTCGACTGAGGGACCATCGAGACTCTTTGCTTATCCGTTTACTTTAGTTTCCGTTTGCTTTTCTTTTCGTTCTCTATTTATTTATTTTACTTTTTCGTTCTATTTATTTCTTTCCTCATCGTCGGCGCTCCTGACGCTCGACCAACATCGAATCTGTTTACTTGATCGCCGTTGCCGCCAGTCGCGAGGACTGGTCTCCGTTCGACGTTCGTCGTCCGTTCTTTGCGCCAGATTATCCGTCGGAGTCTGTTTAATACCGACGTGTCCGGTTCGGGGGGGGAGTGGGGGGGAACGATTTTTACGTGGGGGGTTGGGTCGACAGAGTCGGCGTCCTTCGTTCGGGTCTCATGAAAACGGGACGGAAGTGGTCTCGAGGCGGGTTCGACGGTGACCGTGAACCCCGTGGACGCGAGCTCGCGCGTTCGTTAGGGCGGGTTACCTTAAAAATAAGGTCGCTTTTGCTGAAACCGGACTTCTTTTTATTCATATTGTCAGAACTTAGGCGCCCCCTCCGCTCAGTGCGTTTTTTTTGTAGGTTCTGCAATATCTAGAAACAAAAGAAAGCGGGACATAGCAAGACGTAGTAAGAAAAAGGCCAGGTTATCAAGAGATTCGTATAGAGAGAGAGAGAGAGAGAGAGAGAGAGAGAGAGAGAGAGAGATAGATAGATAGAAAGAGAGAGAGAGAGAAAGAAAGAGATAGAAACAGACAGAATAACGGAAGAAATGAAAATAAAAGTAACAGAGAAAAGGAAGTAAAAGTAAGATCGAAATATTGTGGAGAACGAAAGTACTTTTGGGGGGGGTCTTCGATTGGTCGACAGAGATGTGTTTGTACAGTATAATAAGAGACGAAAAAACAGACAGTGACAAAGAAGGAAGAGAAAACAGAAGGAGTTGGTACGGGTTGTAAGGCGTCAAGGATCAAGTTTCCTTTTTTTATTTTTTTTTTTTATCAATTTTTCAATTGTTTTTTTTTCTGTTGTTGTTGTTTTTTTTTTTCTTTTCGTTCTCCCACCGAGCAGAAAGAGTTCCGGTGCGATACGCTTTAGGGACACACAGGGTATTGAACGGCGAGATCACGGTCTCCGATCGTTCCTAAATGATCTCGACGGATCCCTTTCGCCATTTGCTTTTCGACTGCGAGATATTCGTCCGCCTGCTGAAAGCACAATCGTCACGTGAATGGCCGATCGGGCAACGAACGGCCATTTTCTCTCGTATCGTCCGCCATTTTGGGGGCTACTCGTTCGTTGCGTGTACGCTTATGTGTCCGTGCACCCGACGGGATCGGTTTAACGATCGAGGGACCGATGGGGCCGATTTACTCGATCAGATCCGTCTTCTTCTCGAACGCTGGCTCGGCGCAGTCACGTTGGGGGGTGTTTACATAATCAATAGAAATAAAAGAAGAGAGAAATACAAAATAATGGTAACAGACGTTGGGTGCTTTGGTGTTTTCGTTCGTTCGTTCGTCCATGTATATGTAATATGTGTCGTTTAATCGTTTTTACATTTTTTATTTCGTTGTATTCGCCGGCGATACAGGAGCGTGAGACGCGATGATAGGGGTGGGCGCAAAGTGTGGGTTCAAAGTACGGTGTGTGGAGAACAAATTGTTGCATAAAAAATGACCGTCAACAGCACATAAGGATAAATATAACAATAATAATAATCGTAATAATAAGATCGATAATTAAAATAGTAAGTATAATAAATATAACGGTAATAATAATAATAAATAGAATAAATGTAATAATAATAATAAAAAGTAATAGTAAATGGTTCGTGAGTTAAGAAGTAAGAATCAAGAAGCCATTCTTTAGTATCAAGCTTTCGTTGCAGCAGTCGCCCCAAGCGTGAAGCCGCAGTCTCTGGTCAAGCTCGTATAAAGGCTCGAGAGATCGATTTTAGCGGGTAGCCTCGATGAAACAATCGAAAAGTTTGTATTTTTAAACATTCTTTTTTTTTTCTCTCGCCTCGTCCGAGCGATCGACAAGTCGTCGGGGGTTCCGACAGGCTCGAACGGGTTCAGCGAGAGGCGAAACCTGGCGCCGGACTCTTTTACGAAAATCAAAAGTGTCCGAACGTTCGTATCTCGTGGGAGAAAACAATGGAAGTTTGGAGGACGAAAGTGGGACACGAAATTATAGATTCGTTTCCTCTTGCACGAACTTTTAGCCTTTTCAATCCGCATGGTTTACTGTTGTCCGTTCGACTTCAAGACGGAGTGGATGTAAACAACAGGTCACGTGGGCAGACCACGCGACAGGGTCACGTGACCAGCACTGGTCCGTTGCGTCGATATTACAGATTTTTAAAGAACAGTATCATTATTTATACAAATAAACAGTAACTCAAATTCTATTATATTTGTATTTATACTATAGTTGTGTAGTTGTATTTGTTCACATTTCGTCTTTGCATCGAACGGACAAGAAACTAGTCAGAGTACAGGCCTTTGGTACAATTAATTTAAAAATTGAATAAAAATCAAATAAAATCTCACTGATCAATTTGTTAGAGCCAGTTTAGATTGGTTTCCCTTTGCACAAAGTTCTGGCTCTCGTCTCTTCGCGTAACGAGCGATTAAAAAATTAATAATAACTTCATCGAGTGATTGGTATGGTCTGCGGGTATTGATTTTCTGTTTGTATAAATTTCCTTGTATCGTTGCATCTTTGAATGCTGTTTCTCGTTCGTAGAAAAATTTCGAGCCGTCGATCGTTGTGTTAGCCCCGACAGGGTGTGTCCCGCGTACGAAAATCGAGGAACAAAGGGTGGCGCGACTTCGTGGGCGATCTGTAATTTATCACTTCACCGCGACAGCTATGATTAATCGTGTTCTAAGGTCCATTTCGGTCAGGGTTCTCGAGGCAGCACGAATGGGCGTCGAGAAAGCAACGTATTATTGTCCCACGTCGATTTCGCGTGTCGCGTCGAGCTCAGAACAGAATGGAAGTCGAGGACAGCAGAGAGAAGAGCCCTAATATAATCGACGTTCCTCTCGAGAGCTTCGATATGGAACGTATCCCCGTTTACGTCGATGCCCCAGCATTTCTGAACGTTCGACGCTAATCACCGAAATCGGTGTCCTGATCAGTTATCAGGGGTGAAATTGGATCGGTTATCCGGGATAACAATCGGCCAATTATCCGGGATAACGTTCGATCGGTTACACGGAACAATACGTTTCACGATCTATCAGTTACGCGGGTAAAATTCGAATCAGTTATCCGGCTCGAATTGGTAAAATTGAAATCAGTTATTTGGGACAAAGGCCGACCAGTTATCCCGAACGAGACTCGATCAGTTATCGAGGGACTACTATACCAAATTTCTCGTCTCGCAACTGAGCACGTCCGCGCTACAGCATTCCCACGAGCAGAAACAACCACAACGAAGGAACAACCATGGAACAAACGCAGCCTCGAACGGGTTTTAATAATATTTTCAAGCGAAACAAGAAACACTGACAGGTGGATGCAACCGTCGCAAAACTAGAGAACAACGCTCGGTGAGATCGATCGATCTTTCGTACCGCATGCTGTCTTCGTCGGGAAGGCTGAACAATCTAGGATCGACCGACTCGACGATAAAATACTACTTGATCTACGGAGAAACCGACCGACCACGTCTCTAACCGTCGTCTTCTGTCAGAAACAACGCAACGGAACGTAAATAATAAAGAAAAATGAAACCTTGAAAACTTCAAACTTCGTCAAACCAGGCACATATCTAAACAACACGGAAACAGCAAGCAACTTGGGGGCGGGGAAGGATCGGAACGAAACGCAAATCGGTCCAGAGAAAGAAATATCGGGAGCGTGAAACGAGGGATGGTAAAGGGGTGGCTGAACAAAAAAAAAAAAAACGGGATCGCACACTGAACACGGGCACATCGCCAAAAAATTTCGGGCAAATAGGGTTAATGTACACCTAACACTCACAGGCAGACCTACGATCAGTCCAACTTTCTCGTCTGTAGAGCAGCCACGTGGAGCGCGTCGTGCCGAATATCTCACGGTCCTCGCCCATTGTCCTTGGTACCTTTTGTTCCAACGGGTCTATCTTTCTCTCTTTTTTTTTATCCTTTTCTTCCCGTAACCCGTTTCTAAATCTTTTCTCCGCTCCTTGGGTTCTTAATCATCGCCGCGTCCATCCGACAATATGGCGCACCATACGTTCGAACTATCCCGCGGAAACAGTTGCATGCACTCGTTTTCGTAACGTCAACAGCCAGCCATCGATCCACACGGTCAATATACATGCGCCCCGTGTCGGTGTCTGGCCAGCGACAACGTGGAAGACGCGGCGACGCTGCGACGAAGACTTCCGGTTTTCCTGGACCCCCGATATTCGACACGACGATTACGTTAACGAAAACTGTCGATCGCCTAACAAGAATTTCCAACAAGACCCGAACAAACAAAACGTGACAGCAATTCATATATCAAATCGTTCCCAAGAGATCTCGCAAAAGGAATCTAGTCAGTGTAACATGGATTCGTTTGGGAACAGGTCGATTTCAGAGCATCGATTTCTCTCGTTTTCATCGAGGATTACGGACGTGTGTCTCGATTCGGTGTTCGTGATCCATGTGACACTCTGCAAGGACTACGGGGGTTTACCAAAGACGAGCCCGACCAAGAGCTTTCATCGTCGATAAAAAATTTTCTCCAACGGTCTACGGAATACCAAAACACACCCACGGGGGAGCCTTCACGATGCAAAAAAAACACACACAACGAACAAACGAAAAGACTGCTTTTTATCCTCTATTCTATTCCATTTCCACACCTCTATGTACGAACCGTGCAAACATCGATCGCTAAAGAACGTAACGGAACAGTACGAAAAATGAGATCGAAGGACTTGGAGTGTCGGAAGCTCTTGGTCCGGTCGCGCCTCTCCGTTAACGGATCTAACTTGGTGGTTTCGGGGTTTGGTGTGGCGAGTCAAAAAAAAAAAAAAAGAAAAAATAGTAACGTGTCCTGATTATACTGAACAGAAACTGAATATAGGTATACACGGCAAGGCTATACACGTTCTCTAGAGGAAACTTCCAAACCAAACGAACAACGATAATCAGTCGATAAAACGGTAATAATAAACGGTAACCAATAACCGTAACAGAAAAAAACAATATAAGTAATAATGATCTAGCGTATATATATAGATATGTATATTTATACGTAGAAACATTAAGTTTTAAGTTAACGAACGCTTGAATCAAGAAAGGGCATTTGGCCTTGGTTTCGGGGTTACTAGGCAGGCACACCTTGCTGGTTCGGTCTGGTTGGGGCGGTGTCGCCCGACGCTCGTAGTGCCTCTCCGGCTGTTGATAAAGGGGGATCTGCAAACCCATTCGGAAACGTGTTCTCGCAATACGCCTGGTATTTCATTTTGTATATTGTTCGTTGTGTCTTTGGGGGTCAAGGAACGGGACATCGGGGACTTCTAGGTGGTCGTGGAGGCTATAATGCTTGGTCCAGCCTCGAACAGTCTTTGGGATGTTCAGGATGTGATCTCAGAAATAGCACAGCTC